CATATACACACACATATATTTAAGTGCGATATATTCAAACATATTGCTTGACTAAACATCGTATCACAATTTCTAAATTAAAATATTGTCTTTTGTGAAATATCAAGCTGGGCAATAAACTTTCTAAACTTATCTAATAATTTAAAAAAAAAGATTCTAATTTTTATAACATTGTGCCGTTAATATGATCATATATAGAGTAATTATCGTTTTACTCATATAAAATTCTCAAAGAAAGACGTTAAAACTCTCGATTATTCTACATATTTCTTATTAAAACGTGATGATATTTTACAAAGCAAAAATCAATGAAAAGAAGAAAAGGTGAATAAAAAGAAAAATATTTATATAAAAAATAAACTTTGTTTCCTAAGATTCTTTGACATCAATCTTAGGGTCTAATCAATCGTAATCATTTACGTCCCCAATAATAAAAATAAATAAACTATTGGATTAAAAAATTGTAAAAAATGAAAAATACTAACGTTAAGCAATCTCTACCATTTTTTCGGCAAGCTTTTCAGCGAGACTACATTATATGCTTCACAACTATGTTCCACGACGAACCTGGTCGTGTTATTTTAAAGATACTCGACAATGGGCACCGTACAGAATTTTGCAATACAGGCGAAAGGAAAATGCTTTAGTTTTCATCGTGGACGAAGTTTGTGATCGATCGATGTCGAAGTTTATGCGGACGAGCGATTTGGTTAACGATTGCCGTTGGCGACGATTATACGTCAAACTGGTTCCGGATACGCGTTAAACGATTTAATCGATCGACAGCTGTCGGAAGGATCCATCGAGACCGAACAAGTCGTCTTGCGTCTTTGGTTTACCTGGTCGCAATGCCTCGTTAGTCTTCATAGCTTCCTGCTCCTTGAACCACGGTCCGTAATCTTCCAACTTCTTCATCCACTGATCTGAAAGATAAAGTAAAAAATGCTATTAGTCAGAGAAATCAGGTTGAAGACGTTTAACTTGTAACGTTTTTCTATACATGCACTCCTATTTTGAATAGTTATATTTTTTTATGTCTCATACAGATGTCTCTTACATATTTAATGAAGAAGACTTAATGTCTTTTTTAGGAAGACTTAATGTCTTTTCTGAGAAAAAAATGTATTCAACATATTCAAGAGACTCAAGGAAACTGCGCTTGAAGTTAAAAATGACGTTCCGTGATGCGCTTTATAACTCCGAACGAATAAAAGTAATGAAATGCCGTACCGTGTATAACTTGAATGGGTCCGGCGTCGCCGCCGTACTCGGTTGGCAATATCTCTCTGGGTACGTATTCGTATAGCGTCTTGATGTCACTGTGCATGAAGATGCGATTGCGTATCTTCTCCTTCAAAAACGGCTTGACGAAATTGAGAATCGTGTCGACGAGCGGACTGATGTTTACCACGTGCACTTCCTTCAGCTTCACCGGATACGCCTCCATCGCGCACACCAGAAACTTCTTCACTAAGGCCGGCGTAAACTTGGCGAAATGTGTGGGCGTCGCGACGGAAGCGTCGAGGATGTAGACATCGCCGGCCACGCCGTGTTCCTCTTCGCTTAGACGAATGTCGCCGATCATGAACACCATCTTTAATGATAATAATGTCTCTGTTACTTTGAAGCTCAACACGAGACATGAAGGTACCTATATCAATGTTTTCAAAAACCTGCAAAACTATCGAAATCGATATAATGAGTTCAGCTATAGATACTACAAATATAAGAAAGAAAGAATGGCGCGATAAATTGTGTTTTTATATTTTCGACAACAGCGGAACAGTAGAAAATGCAAATCCATCCAAATAATACGATTCAACGCACTTTTTTCAAAGATGTTAAATGCGAAAAGATGCACACGGTAAAATTTTACTGAACTTAGAAAGCGCGCGCGTTTTTGGACGTTTTGCTATCAATAGTCGAAATGAACTTATACCTTCATAGTTTCCGGTATATTGGGAGTCGGCGCTTCCTTATCAACTCCTCGCATGACGATCACTCGACATCCTTTCTTCGTCAGGCCCGGCAAAGGAGGTATATGTCTGCAGAAAGGAGACAAAGAGTTAACGTTTGCCTTAATTCGTTCACGCGAATTACCTGCAATGTCTCTTTCCGTTTAAAATTGAAATCTTAAACTACCGGCGTATGTATACCGCGATCGCGGTATCCTTACATGAGCTTCGCTATTTCTTGCAACACCGGCCTCGTGATGTCGCGGTTGGAGAAAAATTCAGGGACCACCGCACGCATTGTGAAATACATGTCCAGCTTCCGTTTGCATTTCTCCAAGGAGAATTTGCAGCCGCGTAGAAACGTCATTAATCTTTGATCATCTGAAAGACGATATATTGTGTTAACTGTAAACACATACGTATATCTGTATAATATATATGTATATAGCGCAGCGATTAATCAGGAAAAAATTTATTTAAAGCCTACTTTAGATGATCCGTATAATTCGTGTCGGAATTCAGAATGGAATTTTATTCTAAAAAGCATCTAAAGAGAATCAAAAGTACATTAATATAAAATATATATCAAAAACACATATATCAAAATTTATGGCATGTAAAATTATAAGTGTAAAATTATATCCTAAAATTTGATACGAATTGCAGAGCTTTAAGTGGGCTTCGCAACTATTCTATATACCATCTATCTGACCATCTAATGTACAATCTATTCTGACAAATATATCCGACAAAAAAATCATCGTACCTTCGAATTTAGGCAAATGCGGTTGCTTGACGAGCCACTCCTTGATAATTTCGAGATCTTTGTCGCGCGTCGCTGCATTCTCGTTCAACTCCACTCGTATCTGCTTGGACATTTCGTCCGTAGGCTGTATCAGCAGCATCTGCAAACACAGAATATCGCAATAAGAAACATCATACTGCTCGTAGACAAGCGAATTCGCGAATTCTCTATAATCGGAAAGTCTTACAATGGAAAATTTGTCGTAACATAAATAAACATATATATCTCTTTTTCAGGATTAGAAAGCGTACAATTAAATTACTTGCAAAATAAATCGGACACCGTCCCAATGTGCATAATGTCTATGTATTTGACTCCTTTTCGGTTGCACGTGTAACGCGCGTAATGTGCACTACAGAGATTGCACAACCGGTTAAGATACCCATCGTTCCTTATGCCAGGAATTAATGCTGACCAAAGCGGCTTGCTCAACATGAACTTTCTCTAACTCGTCGCGGCTTCGTACGGAGAAGCAGAGAGAATGTTTCTTAATCTTTACCTCTCCTCGTTTCGGGGGAACGGCAGTATTGTTTCGAAATTCTTTTTTTTTATCACTTATATTTAGTAGCCGTTAATTGTAAAAAGGTTTGCAGTTTAAATCACATTCTTATGATTTAAACGACCGTGAGATATAATCTCGTCGGCATTAAGAATAATTATTTAGAGCTCGAGAATAAATTGTTAAAAGAAAGAAAAAAACATTAAGCTGGAAAAAGGACAAAGTGAAAGAGTAAAAAGTTTTGCAATCATCAATAACTGCTTCCCAGCATAAATCTTTTTTTTCTTTTTTTATTAGAACAGTTAGAACAGCTATGACGCAAGCACTCTTGGCCACTGGATTATTGCTATTGCGATTATCTTCTCACAAAGCGCGGGAAAATTGGCTAGCGTGACAGTCTGCGAGTATTCGAAAAAGTGACAAGGTTTATAATATTATATCTATGCAGCATTAATGGATGCAATTTGAATATAATAAAAATAATTTATTTTATAATAATTAACTAATATAGGAATTTAATAGGAAATAAGAAGATAAATAGAGAGAGAGAGAGAGAGAGAGAGAGAGAGAGAGAGAGAGAGACCTGACTTCGACTTTTAATTAAATATTGAAGAGCTAAATTATATGATATAATAATAAGAACTACGTCTTTTTACATCCTACGCTTTACATATCCTGAATCTAGTTTCCTCTCATAAAAAAAAATTAGATGGCTGTCCTTGGTAAAAGTTGAAATTGGTTAACACGACGTAGGTAGATGGTAGTAAAATTGCCAATTGGTATATGTTGAGTTATACTTATTAGAAAAAAATAGTTTTTATTACAAAAAAGAATTTCTAGATTTAAATTTCAAATTTAATGTGTAATTTTGTATTTAAATATCCTGAATCTACTTTCCTCTCATAAAAAAAATAAGATGGCTGTCCTTGGTAAAAGTTGAAATTGGCTAACACAACGTAGGTAGATGGTAGTAAAATTGCCAATCGGTATATGTCGAGTTATACTCATTAGAAAAAATAGTTTTTATTATAGAAAAAAAATTTCTAGATTTAAATTTCAAATTTAATGTGTAATTTTGTATTTAAATATCCACGAGCCTCCAATGTAAAGAAAGAAATATATAAATTTATACATTTAAACCTGTTTTCATAAATATAAAAAAAGATCTTAGACTCTCAACCTCATAAATATTCAACATTTTTTAACGACTGTTTGATATATTTATAGCGTAAATTATATGTTGTATTAAATTTATGTGTCGTGTCTCTGTACATGTGGACGACAAAAGGAAAGATATCAGAGCAAATTAAAAAAGTCTAAAAGAGATGCTTACGAAAAATGGTTAAAGAAACGTTAAATCGATACATTGCGGATTCGTTAACAAGCGGTTTTGCATTAAATTTGAAACGCACGATCACTTAATTTCTTTTTATTATATTTGAATATTTAAAGCATATTTTGTTCCCTGAACGTAAATTTAATGACAATATCGCACAACAATTTTTGATTCGATCTGCATGCAAAATGCGATGATCTCGAACTTGAACGTTTCCCAAATTAAAGAAACATGATTTTTATATGTGACACACGTTATAGAGGCTTGAACTTACCTTGACCGATGTTCAGTGCAATTCACAGGCACAGGCAAACACTCGACGTGCAAACGATCACGGCGACGATGACTTTCGGATTGTTGCGGAAAGAGAAATGAGCAGAGCGGCGAACTCGAGAGACGTTAAATGAACAACGGAGTGGGAACGATTACCTCGTGCGTGGACCGGTTCTCCTTTATACCGTAGAGATGCCCCACTCTTACTTTGCTTCCCGTTATAGTGTACGGTGAGAGAAAAATTCGATCGATTAGCGATTTTGGGGGGAAATTTTACTGACGCACTCAAAAAATATTGCTTTGTAAGAGACGGCTAGAAATTATATCGTCTATTCCATGACGTAAATAAAAGAATATATCCTGAACAATACCGGAGCGATTATGTAAAAAATTTGTATATTGAGTATTGCGGAACGTCCAGGCGGTGGCGAAAAAAAATAGTGGATTAAAACTATTATATATTATATTATATTAATATTATTAAAATAACCAAATACAGTTGCTACTTGGTAAATTTCAATAAAATGTAAAGCTGATTATTATAAAATTATATTAAAATTTAAATGATTTTATGCGAAGAATTTATATTGTAAAGAGATTAATTCTCTTTTCGAAGGAAAGATTAAAGTAGCTTCCTGTTACACAAAGCATATCCTCTAATAATCAAGCTCGCTATCTTTTTTGTCGTATATTAATAGTGCTTAATCAATTGTATGAATACTTTGCTCAGAAACTGTCGACACTTTTTACATGAGCAACCTCACGCTTCTAAGATGTTAATTAAACTAACACAACAACAGCTTTTTAATATACATAAATGCGCTATCGTATCAATCTTTCTTGAGCAACCGCTAGCGATAAACAAAAGCATTAGCGGAATAGCTGTGCGTGTTATAATAATGTATGTACTTCGACGAAGACCGGAGAATTGATACGGCGTAAGTACTTGCGGGATTGACTTACGCATCGTACGCAATCACGATAATTTCGCAATACGCTTACCGAGAAACGGCGATAGCTAACTTTAATATAATTCCGCGATTTTAGAAACTCACGAAACTGTAACGCTTATGTAACGCGAAAATCCTCGCCTAGGTGAGCGCGCCTGGCCGCTTTGGTGCGCACATGCATCATCTTTCTTGCTCTGATAAACAACAAAAAATACGAAATTTTCTTCCCAGGTTCGATCCATATGTCTTTATGCGGCTCGCGGTCAAAGTTATACGGTCTTATACGGTCAAATGAGCTATTTTTACTTTTTCGTAGATTTTTATACATTACAAATTATGCATTCAAATACCACATCCCTGGCGAAAATAATCTATTTACGAGATGTTTGCTTAAATGTTGAGTAGATGTTTTGTTTCAGCTTTAAAACATTTATTAAATTGTTCATGAGATGTTCGCGGCTGTGTTTTTCTTATGAAGTGTTTTAAGCGGCGTTTAATGACATAGTCTCCCACGTTTCCATTATTAGAGTTTTCTAAGTATTTGTAAAATTTTTGTCAGCAGAGGGTTAACCATGATAAAACTGTTCGTAAACGAATATAAACACAATCTCTCACTAACAATTTTCGCCAGGGATACGAATGATAATTAAATCGAACGTAAAACAATATAATTGCGACAAGTTCAATCTTCTTTTCTTGCACGCGCATGTGTTTTGCATAAGTTTAGTCACTATCGTGTCAGGTCAATCTAATTAAGTAATGTATTTAATTATGCTTGAGATTATTTTCGAACTTATATTTATCGTCACGTGCACATATTTACGAGATTTACGCGATTTTCCTTGAAAAACTCGAGTTATCCGGTATAGACGCGCGATCATGATAATTATTAACAAGAACGGAATCGCGAGTCTTTGTTCTCGCGAATAATTAGTAACGAGAGAATTCATCATTGACACGATGAAGATCGGCTCGATGCTGCGGCTTTCGCACGCCGCCGCCGAAGTGAAGATAACGGTAATAATCGTGCGTTCTCCCGCTCGATTCTTTACCGTATTCACTTCCGAGTGTATAGAATCGCACGCTGACTAATCGCGGCCCGCGCGCTCATGCCCTCGTCTTACTTTCTTTCGCGGGATACGTTGCGCGCCGTTGTTGCACCAGGGTAGGATTACGCGAGCGGCGACCGTCATAACCAGAGGAATTCGCGTGTATATGAAATTGCCGGTTGCAATCGCGCGCGATTTTGTAATTGGCCGGATCGAGCAAGACATGTTTATACGCACGCGGTAAATACTTGCCCCCGCAAATATACGAGCAAGTCAAACCTGTCTTCTCTGAATTGCGGACAGTGGATTATAGGGCGCTTAATTCTTTCGGGTCAAATTTTAACGACAGCTCCATTTGATGAATCAGAAAGTCATTTTTCTTTAGAAGAAAATTAAGTGACTTCACTGATGCAATCAGGATTACTCGTATATCACGTAAGTACAATTTATTCATCAAAGTTTATTTGCAAATTTAATCGATATTATAGTAATATTGAAAATTACATAAAATTATAATTTTCCGTCACTTTTTTTAAACGCGTTATTTGCCGAATATTCTCTCTTACAAAGGTTTTTTTTTTAATATTATTAAAATTGTCGATAAGTTCTCGTTCTCTTGCATCTATAAATTGTGTAAAATATAGATAGCATCAGAAGTAAATGAAAAAAAGAAATATAGAAATAAAAAAAATGTTATAGAGATTGAGTACAAAATGTTATGTCTGGTTTTAAGAAGACGTTATTGCGGCCTTGGCGAGGATCGAGGTCGTGACACCGAGTACTGTAGCAAGGCCATGCGGTATCGTCTTCAATGAAGTCGAACTTTTGGCTTGTATTTCTTTCCCAATTGTTGTTTTTTCAGCGTTTATGGTGCTCTAAACAGAAAATGTAAAAAACAATTATCTTTATGTCCAAAATCAGCTTATCTCCATATCAGATTATTAAAAAAAAAAATGTTTGAGCTAATTTCTACTGAAAGTCCTTGACACAAATTATTTGTATCAATATTTCGATTAACTGTATTAAGCACAAAATTTACACAAATACATTTTATGCAATTTGTAATTTGAGATGTAAACTAATTTATGTAATAAGTCAATATTATTCTGAGAATGCTGAAGTAAATTTATCTAATATGAACAATAATATATATATTACAGTAAACTTGCGACATTACACCGGTTGTTTTTTAAACCGACATTATTTATTAGAGACACGATTATTGGTTCACCTTACCGGTTTTTCAGCCTTCTTGCTTCTGATAACTCGTTTTCGCCCTGGCAGTTCTTGCGAAAAGATCTCGCCGGTCGGCACACGCGAGACAATCGGAATATCGCGCCTTTGTCGATTCGTGCATTCGGAATCACGGCAATCGCGCTTCATCATGGCTTTTTTTATTGCAATCGGAAGCTCATCAATAATTTTTGTCTCCTGAAGAATATGACAATTCGGTCCTTGTGCAAAAAATGGAACGGATCTTTGGTCTCCAACACAGATTTGCGTCACGATTAAGAGAGTGTCCCTCGGAGAGGTCTTCATCGATTAAAAAAAAATTAGGAGTTAACATGTTGTTAATATTTATATATTAATATATGTATAATTATGTTTTTTAATAATATTTTTATTTATTATATTTGTATGTCTCTCACTTCGACAGTCAATTAATATTTAACTATGATGTTCCAGTAAAAAACTACTAAATGTAAATTAACATTTTATATTTCTCTAAATTATTTTGAGCGAATCAGATCTGCCAATTTTATAGATAATGAAACACTAATTACTTCGCGTTGGAGAAGATCGATGACGGCAGCTCCCTCGCTTCTCGGCGCTGCAGCGATTAACATGTAACCATTATCGTTTGGAACAGATTTCAGCTCCCTGATGGTATTCCCGATTAAACTGGTAGCAGTTGGTTTGACAGAGAACGATTTGAATTCATTCTTGAACGTGCCATCGTTCCTGTGCAACGATTCGATCAGAGAACGGAAGAAAGCCATTCTAATTTTGGAGAACACGTCGAAAATATCCCATATAACATCATGATTCATCTCTCCTGTAAATAAAATGGATTTATCTTTCCTCCCCATTTTTTTTTGAAATGTCCCCTGTATGTTTTTGTAAGCTGGTCGAGGATTATCAAAAGTTATCTTATATAACTTGAACTTTTATGAAGATTGTCAGCGAAATGATTGGAATAATTATAAAATATATTATTTTGTATTTTATATTTTATGTCTTGGAATTATTGTTGAAATTATCAAAATTTGTTTTATGCTGTCTCTTGTTTTATGCTATCTCAATCCTCAACTAATTTTATCCGTTCTAATTCTTTAAATTTTTAGTATATGTATATAGAACATTAGTGTAAAATATTTGTTCTTTAAATATAAACCTGCTTGTGGCTCGCCCCCTGTTTTAGGTTCTGCCCTAGTTAAAGGGGAAACAGGTCTCGCCCGGTCGCTAAGATCGATTATTTGCCAACCGTCGTTCGAATCGCGTTTGCTTTTACGTGATTCCAACTTCACGTTACTTTTATTGAATCTGCTAGATTCGAATCCAGGAATTAACGGGATCGTGAAATTGCTGCCGGAAACTGCGCCTGTTCGATGGAATGCACCAAATTAATGATCGACATAAGAAATTGTTAAGTAAGTAATAAAAGAATAATATTCTGTATATTTTTTGTGTACACAAAATTAACGATCGCCGTAAGAAATTGTTAGGTAAGTAATAAAAGAATAATATTCTGTATATTTTTTGTGCACACAAAATTAACGATCGCTATAAGAAATAGTTTAGTAAATAATAAAAGAATAATACTTTGTATATTTTGTGTACACAAAATTAACCGACATAAGAAATAGTTAAGCAAGTAATAAGAGAATAATACTATATATTGTGTATACTTGTATATTTTAATATCTATTATTTTTTAACATTCTCTAATGTTTTATATTCCTATAGCTTTCGACACTTAAATTTAATGTTTAATTAATAAAACCTTTCTTTTATCAAACCTGTTGTCATTCCTCTCTCCTGCCTCGCCCAAGGTAACAACTCTCCGATATTGGAGCGAAGGTAATTACATTCGCAATCGCTGCTTTTTTCTTTATTTTCGGAAACCGACGCGTTGTCCGTGGAAAAATTAGCGCTCTCGACCTTGTCGCGGCAACTCTACGATATGAATTTTGCACAACTCGAGTTCGAACTATATTATATAATAATTTATTCACACGGCACAAAAAATAATATTGCACAAAAACTGAATTCTATAAATCTTTCCTTAAATCTAACATATTATGAAAACCACTTCTCTATTTACGGGCGTCATATATTTTATCAAAATATAAATTACTTTGTGATTTTATAATATTTTGTAATATTATGTTTAATATGTAAATACTTAAATATACTTTCATATAAATGCGGATTTGTGCTGTAATTATTACTGAATGAAAAAGAGTTAAATAATGAAAGAAAAAATTGGTCCATCGACGATCAGTTTCCTAAAGTCTATCTGACATAAAAATGATTAATGCGATTATGGGTGAGTACTTGAAGAAATCCTTCAATCGCGAGGGGCAGTCTTTCTTTATAATTCTTCCACGAGTTCTCTTCCCCTTTCTCATTCTGGCCCCTTTCATCGATCAGGAGCAAAATGACATTTCGAGGAGCAATAATAGTATTAGCGTTTTCTTCGGAAGAATCGGAAGCGTTGTTCCTCATTGCTAATACTATTTCATTGATAGGTTTCATCTCGATGAGCTTCATCCCGGTCTCGATATTCTCGGTTGTTGATCTCTTCTCGCGCGTCTGATTATCCAGCACATTTTCCAATATCTTTGCATCTTTTGCTTGCAAGATCTTATCCACGCTCGTCACCTGCATCTTGTCCTTCAACGCAGAGTCGACAAATATTCTTCGATAAGTATCCAAGGACGGTGCCGTGTCCCACGCAGAGGGCACAAGCGCTATTGAAGCGTGACATAAATCATCAATACGTGTAATAACTCAAGATGTATTTATAAGATACATTATGCATTTGTATGCTGAGTGGTCTTTTTGAAAAAGGAAAAGAAGAAAAATTGTGTGACATTCACATAGACGTATAATTTAAAATAACGATCCTGTTAAAACTATGCTGAAAGCTGGCAACTAAATAATTGACTTCAGTGATTAATACAGTTTGCATTTCCTTGTTATCAATTACAGTAACAAGTGTGACTATTCAAACGAAGCGAAGATAAAAGCAAAGGTTGGTCGGTACCTGAACGATCCATCGTAAATCCAAAAGAGCGTGTCATCAGCGACCACAGCATCAGAATGAAAATACCGGAACGTGACATGACTTCTGCTGACGAAATTAATTTAAACGTTTTTATTTATGACGCAATTAGATTATTTCTTGCGCGCGTCTGTCTATAATATATCGCTCACTCGACTAATCGACTTGCAGCTTATTTTTTATAGAAACGTTGGAGAGCAAAAGTTTAATTCTGGATCGTCGTTCAATCTCGGTAATTGCTACGTCCGCCTTGTTTTCCTTCCGAAAAACAATTAGACTACGCTGTCGCTAATCAACAAGATCGGTTGCCCGAACAACCGAAGGGGAATCTCAAATTTCGAACAAAGTTCTCTTTATTAGGATTTATATTTTGTTACATCAACTGCGCTGAAAATACCATAATTTGCCAATTAAAACACTGATTATTTCGTCAAATATTTTTATTTATTTTGACAAGTTTGAACAGGAAATAGTCTTCGCCTTTTAAATAACAGATTAAAGTCTATTAAATTATAACAAATTAAATTTATTATATGACTGGCAAATAAAAGGTTTCCTCGATAGTGGGATAGTTGACATAATTTTGATACAATTTCCGTGATGTCAGCACGTAGTGCTGTAATAGTATCATTAGCCGACCGATCGTCGTATCGCAGTAAGGATTATCGCCCTAAATAATAAAGGATAGTTACTATGTATACGATCCATATGCCTGTAAGTTGCGTCGCGGCCCCCGTTTTAAGTCGATACCTGACATATTTAACCGTTGAGACTTACATAGGTCATTCTCGACGGTGAAACTACGCTTGCGATCCGATTTATACTATTTGTTTTGCGTCATTCGTTTCGTATGCGCTCGTACTTTACGTACGAATCATTTATTTTCATCGACCCCGTTCTACGTACGTGATGATGGTATACGCGAGCTCAATCGCAGAAAATTGAGTACATTTTTCGTCGTAGATTCCGTGTATAAAAGAGTGACGATTTTTAGCAAAATTTTCTACCAGGAAGAATTGACCCCCATCCAAAATCTATCAAATCAAAAATTCATCTTTATCAAATTTTATCTTTAAGATATATGAAATTTGTTAAATATATATAACAATTAATTGGCGGAAATATTTGGGAAAAACGTGAACTTTTATGTATAATACAAAGGACACATGCTGATAATTCGTAAATGTTAATGCACGAGCTAAACTTTTTATTTAAATATTGATGCAGTGGAACGGCGGCACGAGAGTCATTATTTTCCAGTTAATAATTACTACTACTGGCAAAAAAATCATAATAAGGGTCGCAAAGTATTCTGGAATAATATCCAGGAAATCGGCGTCGCGCGCCGATACGGGGATCCTATAGCGGAAGCTTCGTTTCACCAGTTGCTAACCCCTGCTCTAGGCATCTTGGAACTTTAGACTGTTTTCTTCGTTGAAACTTTCTTTACGTTGAAAACTGCACGGAGCATGGCGGCGGCGGTCTGAATTATTAAGAGGATTATAGACCCCCGTGCAACTCCGGGGACGGCGTAAGAAGCGACATGGCGTCGGAGGAACAGCGCAGCGCGACGAAGCGGTCTGCGCCTGGTTACCGGGCCCCGATTGGTCCACGTTTGGTACCTACCCTGCTGGAAGGGGTTTTCCCGGTGGCGCGGGGTAGTGGTGGCGGTCAGGTCATAACCGGGGGTTGGAAGTGTTGGGACAAGAAGGCAGAAGCAGAGGGTACTTGGGCCTCGGCCGGAGGAACGAGACAGTTCACGAAGAGTCACGAAACGAGCCACAAAACGACGACTGATGGCAGGCCGGCTAGTTAGTTTGCTCTTCTTCGTTCTTCTGATATATCTGGCACGATTGCTGCAACGTAATCGCGAGGCGCTGAAGGCCGCGTCGTAAATTGGCCGCGGATCCGAAGAGGAAGTTCTTCGCTCTTGGACATCTGTAATCTTGGATAGTCAAAGCGACCAAGGTAGGACACTTTGCCCTTATATTTCGAAACAGGTGCTAAATCTCAACGAAACAATGCGAAACTTGAAAAAGTAATATTTTGTTTACAAACACGAAAACAATTATGGTGCATGTTCTGAAGAAATAAAAAACTCGTTTGACAATTGGCAAGTGGAAAATAAAATACAAATTTTCGTAAGATTCATTAGACTTTTGCGTCTTTGATGATTTACGATATATTGCGTAAAATGAGTAATCGATGGCACACGCAGAGAAAGAGTTACGTGCTTCTAGAAGTTTCGTTTACACAACATGCACATATGGTAAACGGCCTCGTGATAAATGATGCGGATTGTGTTATGGTGCGCGAATCGTAGCCAACCGCGAGTTGTCAATCTGCTAATGAATTTTAACGACAATTTCGCGCGTTTGATAGTTGCGATAAAGCGATGGTCAATTCGTACCGTTTGCTCGTAGATGATGAAGATGAAGCAACAACAGGGCCTGGTGGCCGATCTCATGCCCAACATAAGGGTCATGAAGATCTTCGGGCACTTCGTGTTCAACTATTACGACGACAGTTCGTCCAAATACCTGCATAAAATTTTCTGCTGCGTAAGTAATCACGAATATCGACAAAATCTAGTTCCCGTCTGATCAAATCGAAGCCGAAGTTATCGACATTCTTTAGTATTATAGTAAAATATATACAAATTTTTGTAATAACATTTTGACAAGATATCCGAGAGTCCACGACTTGGACAATCGTCGTAAAACCACTATTATTCTTGGTTTACGTCCGAATCGCACAGGCACACCGCAAGAGCTAAATCTTTTCTAGGTAAATCTATTTCTGCTGCTGTTGCAATTCGGCCTGTGCGCGGTGAATCTGATCATCGAGAGCGCCGACGTCGACGATCTCACGGCCAACACGATCACCCTCCTCTTCTTCACGCACAGCATCGTCAAGATCGTTTATTTCGCCATCAGGAGCAAGTACTTCTACAGAACGTGGGCGATATGGAACAATCCGAATTCCCATCCGCTCTTCGCCGAGAGCAATGCGAGATACCACGCGATCGCCCTGAAGAAGATGAGGCTGCTGCTCTTCTTGGTCGGCGCCACCACCGTGCTCACCGTGGTAGCTTGGACCATTCTCACTTTCTTCGAGCACCCGATTAGAAAACTCGTCGACCCGGTTACGAACGAGACGACAATTATTGAGGTAATAAATCAGACTTGGTGGGGTAATATATAAAACATGTTTCATTTTGCACAGTAAGTAAACTAAAAAAATATTGAAATATATGGGAAATTAACGCTTTAAGATAAAATTACTATTGTTATCGTTATTAAAATTATTATAAATATCGCTTTTTATCCTTGAATTATAATATAATTAAGACAGGTGTATAACTAGAATATTTTCACATATTTCTGTTTTTTATATATAAGTTACTTTTTTTATTTACAATATATACATTGCACTTGCCGCGCAATTATGCACTCGAGTCCTACTTTCTGTGTATATGAGAAATTTCTCTTTCTCGTGATTTAGTTGCCGCAATTGCTGGTCCGTTCGTTCTATCCGTTCAACGCCGGCAAGGGAATAACGCATATATTGATACTCGTATACCAAATGTATTGGGTGCTCTTCATGCTCATTAACGCCAATTCGCTGGACGTCCTCTTCTGCTCGTGGCTATTGTTCGCCTGCGAACAATTACAGCATCTGAAACAAATCATGAAACCCCTGATGGAGTTGAGCGCAACTTTGGACACGGTGGTTCCGAATAGCAGTGAGCTCTTCAAGGTCTGTCAAATTTCAACGTTCACAGTCATTAGTCATATAAATTTTAATACCACTCTATATTTCTTTGTTTTTTGTGTCTAAAATTAGATTTTTTGAGATTTACATTAATTTCGACTAATATAAAAAAGAAACATTTTTATTTTACGTTATATGACAAGCAATTTTTGTCATTTCAAGTATTTATTAAAGAATAAGCCAAAAGTTCATATCTGCATGATTAAGACTTTCTTCGGACTTTATGTATATCAACACCTTGAGATTTCTCTTTTATGTATGTAGGCTGGTAGCGGGGATCATCTTCGAGAATCGGAGAACAATCAGCCGCCGCCACCAGCACAGGCCGCCCAGGGCGACAATATGCTGGACCTCGATCTTCGTAACATATACAGCAATCGGCAGGACTTCACGGCGACCTTCCGGCCAACCGCTGGGATGACCTTCAACGGTGGCGTGGGACCGAACGGATTAACGAAAAAGCAAGAGATGCTCGTCAGGAGCGCCATCAAGTACTGGGTGGAGAGACACAAGCATATTGTCAGGTGAGTCAATTTTATTAGATTCGCGCGAGTCTGACAAGGCTTTATCGCGATGCCAGTTGGACTAGCCTGTCTGTAAAGAGAGTGGTCGCAAGATAAAGCGTCAAGACCGTGAGATAAAAGATTCAGTATCGAATAACGCGACGAGAGATGCAAAACCGCTCCCTCCCCCCCGCCCCCCCCCGCCGTGCTCTACTTACCCCACTGAAGACGTATAGTTAATTCATGCAACTCCTACACCACGAGTGAGCGACGGATCATTTCTTTGAAAGTCATCTGCATCTTGTGTGTGAACTAGTGACCCAGAAGAATTCTATATAACACACCTATGGCGTGTAAAGTATTTAGTATATAGTCGGCATTATATTGACCCCATAGAGAAAGACGCGCTAACTACACCCTTAATTATTAAGAGGCGCGCACGACAAAGTTGCGGCCAAACATCGCGGTCGTGAATATTTTAGAATATGCATAAACACGTTTCGAATACCGTTACTTCGAGCATATTCTTCATATTAATTATTTAATATATGATACTGGGCAAAAAATAATTTTACATCGGGTTAACATTAATCCAAGTACCACGGGTGAAACGGAGAGCTTTACGATTTTGATCACAGAAGAAATAGAGGGAAAATAAATGGAACTCTACAAAAATATTCAGATATTATACTCCGACATATAAAACGGAGTAATTATTACAATCTATACCGCCGTTTAAGTTCCTAATACTTCTGTCACATTGATATTTGTGTGAAATATACTCCACAATATTTAAAAATTGCAGAAATTATTAATAGGAAGCCAATTATAAATATAAGATAATAAATATATTTTTAAAACAAGTTTATTTTTATATAATGACGAACTCTTTGTTAAGCTTTAGTCAATTGAATGGCAATACATTGAAGCTAATCATCGGAAGAATCACACAAGTTTAAAAGTAAAACACAATCTTCTGAATTAATAAAAAAAGAATTAATAAAAATATTATTTTATTTCAAATCTTGATTCTACGGTCTTTCGGAAAATAAATAGACAAATAGAACAGTTCTATTTCCAATCTTATTATTTCCTACTTATATCTACAGTTTCATAACTAACGTGAATAACATGATTCTGCTTAAAAACGTTAATCTTTTTCAAAGTGTGACGTACATCGTACTTCGTAAAGTATGCGGAATACGATCAGCGGTGGCGAGATCGATCGCTCTTTGAGAAAAAGAAAAATTTTTTTTTCGCGATAACGGCGCGAACGGATGCCGTGTTCCTGCGGGTTCGTGGGGGGTGCCGAAGCCACTCGTCGACTGGCAGCGGGATGCGCGTGTTCCCACGGTGGTGAAATATTTATTCTAAGAAAGCGCGATATTGACCGCAACGGGGGTCGTGTGTTCTACGGACTGCGCGATTCATGGGGGGACGGGTATTCGCCGCCGACGCGACGACGGTTCACGTGCACGTAACGTGCGCACACGTGGTTCACCTGCTAACGCACGCGTGACGACAGATTTTTAGGCCCCACGGGTCGCGCCCTGCTGACACACGTGTTTTATATCCATGTAGCGTGTCATTGGACAGATCATTCACGCGCAAATGACGGTCAATTTTACCAGTAGAAGGATTTCATTGTTGTTTTTTAGCGCACATTTTTTAAATAAGAAATTAAAATATATAATCTTGGCCAACGTGATTTCGATATATATGAAATCTTACATTAGTCTTTTGTCCAGAAATGAGTAAACTTTCTTCTGGAACTCTTCTCTCTTTTATTTTAATTTCAAATCTCCTCATTAATTCTCGACCTTAGTAAAAGCCTAAGAGGTCTGCGAATGGATCCGAAAATCGTTATGACAGTTTGTTACTTTCAAGCAGTAGAGGCTCGTATTATCACCTACGCGATATTGGAAGATATTGACCGCAACGGAGGTCATGTCCTACGAGTAAGTAGTCTAAGGGGATGAAATGCTTCCATACAGCGGACTGTATATCGCGCTGGATTGCTGGATATTCGATCCGGAGTTACAAAAATTTCAAATCTACACAGTATCCTACTTCGAACTTATGTTCAACGTTCTCGCGAAACGTTTTGCAGATTTGACTTTTCTGCAACGGTGATAACTTAGCGTGATATTACACGGACTATCGCATTTCTTCAAGGTGTTTTGACGTATCGATCACTCACTTACTGACAACCAGTGTTAACTTGACGAACGGTCGACGAAATAAAGTATACGTGGCGAAACGGAAGCAAACTTTCGTCCGTCATCGTTCAACTTAGTTTTAATCGCTTAGTATGAAAATCAAGGGTGGAATGTGGGCGTACCTATGGATGAAAAAACGGGCATTACGAATACATGAATACATTACATTTCATGAAACCGCTTTTAACGTGCGGCATAAGTCAGCCGTAGACAGTTCGGGTCGATCCTCGCCGATCAGCGGTATTATGGGTATTAATAATAATAATCTCTTGTTCCATATAGACTGGTCACCGCGGTCGGAGATGCGTACGGTTTCGCTCTTTTGCTCCACATGTTGACAACCACCATCACTTTAACGCTGCTCGCGTACCAAGCGACGAAGGTGAGTGCGTGTGACAGATGGTCGGGCTTCTTTTCAAGGTTCCGAGCAAATGACTTATCGATCGTATAAATTAGTAAAGCAAGTAATGCGAAGTCGAACATTACTTGAGAATGAAGTATTCATACTAATATGTTCGAGTTTTAAATGCTACAGGTGAACGGTATAAATGTGTACGCGTTCTCCACGATCGGCTACGTGCTCTACACGTTCGGCCAAGTCTTTTTGTTCTGCATATTTGGAAATCGTCTGATCGAAGAGGTGCGTATGCGCGAAGTTCGCAGGAGACTCAACAAGTCTCGGAAACTTTGGCTCGAAAATGACGATAAGAGATAAGGAAAAACGTGATGAAAATTTAAAAGGCAAAAAACCGCATTTTTTAAATACAATCTTTCTTTCAGAGCACCTCGGTGATGGAGGCGGCGTATTCTTGCCACTGGTACGATGGATCGGAGGAAGCTAAGACGTTTGTGCAGATCGTGTGTCAACAGTGTCAGAAAGCTATGTCAATATCGGGGGCGAAATTCTTCACCGTGTCCTTGGATCTCTTCGCTTCGGTAAGATTAAATCTATCTCTCGAGGTGTCTGTCCCGAGTTTGAACTTCTCCTCGCGCTTGATTGTTATACGTAACAAAATTAACAAAACTCCGTTCAACAACTATTACGATATTAGTTGCGAGAGAATAATGTAATTAACGATTTTCTAAAAATTCCCATAGGTACTGGGAGCCGTGGTGACTTACTTCATGGTGTTGGTGCAACTGAAGTGAACGCTCGGCTCCATGCATTCCAGATGCGAATGCAGTCTCTCGTGTTGCACACGGCTGTGCAAGATTATATTTTTTAACGTGTTTACAAGGGACCAAATGGAACGTTGGTATCGTGAAGATTCTCGCGGGGAGAATCCGGCGTCCTTACGGGCGCATAGCAAAATATTGAGAGTGGATATGAGATTGGAAAATCATGAGAAGCTACATCGGAATTGAGTTTTTATGCGATAAAAATGATAATAGGAATGATGATACAAATTATTTTTACTGTTACTTTAGAGATCGATCAGCGATAAGACACAAATATATCCTCTTTTTTTTCATTATTATCCAGATTAACGAACGATGAGAGAGCACTTTCTTTCGTTAAAATGTAAATTTTAATGCGTAGCTCGCTGCATAATTTTTCTCTCCACGTTTTATTGTGCATATTAGTGACAAGCAAGGGATACGGCAACGTGAGCACTCGTCGCGATTCATTTGCATGCACATTAATTATATAAGTCGTAATGCTTAACGGGGAAGATATACGCTAATGTTATTTGAGCTGTAGTGCGGGGCGGCTTGTACCAATTGTCGTACGATCAATAATGGAACGTATATTAACGAGCAGATGCGGGAGAGCTTATTTTGCCTTTGGAGTCGTCCAGTAAAATCGTACTATTACGTTCTCGAACATCTTATATTTTAAAAATTGCGTATAGCGGAGGGTTAAACGACGCGTGTACATTGACGCGTCCTAACGAAGTGTGTAAATATAAGATATAATTGTATAAGGTGATATTACATTTTTAAAATAGAACAGTAACGCCAAGTCGTAATGTTAAATTTGGTGTAATTTTAGTGGCACGCTTTGTCTTTGCACGCGAGAAGCAACAATTTACAGCGTTACCACAAATGTACGCTAACTTTTTTTATTAATTATGTTTCCTACGTCCTATCGAGAATTAGATTGCGCGAGAATATTGCTATTTAGATCCCATTTTAATTTTATTTCACGAATCTTGCCATTTTTAAGTGAATTTTCTTCTCTTCCCCCTCTCTTCTTTCTTTCTCTCTCTTCTGTCACTTATTAATGATAAAATTTACGATCTCATTCCCTTCAGCGTGGGAAAATGCATTTTGACACATAATACAAATTAATTTCCCTATTTATTGTCACTTAAACTCTGCAGCAAGGACAAACAGCCTTTGTCTTTTCTTTAGAGCGCATTTATCGGAGGTTACAATTTGTCAGTCAATAAGTAGCGATAACAGAATGAATCTGCCGCGAGAATAAATAAAAAAAATTCGTCGCCGCGTTGAAAAGTATTAGCCCTTTGCTTCTTGATGAAAAAAGCGGCGATACAATTGATGTGGTACGTCAATTAATATACGGTACAATTTATCAAACGGTACATGAATCTAATAAATAGAGAGAGTAAGATATATATATATATGTATACATATATATTTTTTTTCATTATACGTAACCACGTGAGCGTGGACAGACGTGTACCTAATGTACCTCGTTTTATATATTTCGTAACATCTCTCGGTGTCTTTAGTAAGATAATATTTCGTCACCTAAAAGATGTACAAGAGAAGATATTTGCACCGTGCATGGCCGCTCATTCTGACCGTTACAATATAAATATGTATCTTTCATCGACGCGGATATCGTTTTACGAGACGACGCGAGATATTTTTAGTTTCTTTCGTTGGAAAGTGAAAAGTGTTGTCGAGGGAAGGAGCGTAAAATATATTATAGGACGGAAAAGCGAACGTTTAAGCGGATAGGAGCGTGTCTGGGCGATATCCGGGCTCGATCTACTTTTACATTAGTGTATAATTAACGTATGTGTACATTACTATGATCAAGTATTAATCGATGAGATCACAGTATTATCAAATAGTTTTTCTCTATGTAAAGCTGTACTATATTTATTTAATAAAATCTTGATATAAACGTTCATATAAATTCCAGCAGGAGAACCCGAATTTTTTTCGCGTTCGACTCTGTCGAAAGTTTAGCAAACTACGGCTTTCTCGCGGCATACGCTGCATTCCGATATTCACTGTCAGTACTGCAAATCTATATTTTACGTCACGTATATTATAGATTTTCAGTACTGAAAGTTGCTGACAGTGAATATAGGAATGCAGCCATAATCTCTAAAAAAAATCTTTCGCGTTGAAACTACAATAGAAATTCGCGAGTGTGCTGTTACAAGACAGCAATGTAGAAAATAAAAATTATAGAACACGCGTTGAAGCACATACTCACGTTATAGTAGCCGCTAATAAAGATTGTCTTGCTTCACGGAAACTTAAATTAAATTAGCACGGACCGCGCCGAGTTTCTCCTTATTCGATTCAATCGTTGCTTTCGGAGAACGCGACTCTTCCGACATGTAGAAAGTAACAATTTTTGTATTAAATGTGATTTACGAGTGAACTGCGCGAATGATGCACGTGCTACCTGGCACAAACAGGATTGTGGAGATGAAGAAGGATTATGCCTTGCCGCTCTTACTTATCCGAGGAAACGCTTCGAAAATTGTGGACAAAGGACGGACTTTCTCTTCGCGCTGCATTCTTCATCGCATTCTCTTTCTTTACTATTTAAAAATTTAATATAAAATATCTAGATAAATATCTCTGACGTACGAAATAAATCGAGATGTGCGCAGCTGTGCAAGCTGCTCTCTTCGTGTTTTTCCAGTGTTAATAATAAAATATTGACGTAAAGTGTGGAGATATATGTATACCTATATACACGGGGCGTTTCAAAACTTTACAAGCTTGTGGTACTTACTGAACTGGATAAAAAACGTTTAATTACTATAAATACACAAATAAATCCATTTAAAATAAACAACTTTTTGTTTCAATAACGTAAGCTGTTTATTCATCGTTTATCGTTTGTAAAAACAAAAAATTTTTAACAATTGGATTATTATTTTATTATTTTATTATTCCAATTTTAAACAATATATAATTTGTGTCGAAACCTAAAGTAGAATTGTATTTAAAATTTTTTCATGTGCTATGTAACATAAAAAACATTTAAAGAATAAAAAAACACATTTATAAAATGCAAGCCATATAAAATTATAAATAGAATTCTATCCTAAAGTATAACGCAAAATGTGCATTATTTAAATTAAATGGAGCTTTAAAAAAGTATTTTTTGTATTTTCCATTTAAAAATGCATGTTTAATATCTTTGTGCCACCAAATTTTTTTTTAATTCCTAGTGTATTTTGAACCGCTTGACACTCTCTCGACAAGCAATATTTAAATATTAATATTTATACAACAATATTTGTAATATTTACGTAAACTGTTAAACCATGCACTTTACGATTTATAATTTGTATCTCTCTCAGAATTTAGGATAGAATTTTATTTATAATTTTATGTGTCATGTAATGCAATAAATGTTTGAGAAAACAAAATAGAAAAATAAAATTCTATCTTGAAATCTGGTGCAAATTAAAGATCGTCTAAAGTGGGCTTTACAATATATTATGAATAATCTGTTGCTTGCATATATACTGCAAACATAAAAATATTATAAAAGCACAAAATCGCTATTTATTTAAAAAACATTGATTTGTGGACCTATCTCAAGGCATTTTTTTATTCAGCTTAGCGAGCACTACAAACCTGCGAAGTTACGACCCACTATCTCGAAACATACTGTACACGAGGTCGACGAGGTGAAGCAACGTCTATTAAGAGCTCGTAAAAATAAGCATTTATAACAAGTAGAGTGAGAAATTGCCGCGGCGGGTTCGCACGCAGGCGCAAAACGCGAGCATCTCCGTGCGTTTCTAGGGGTAGTTTCGATCGTCCGGGGGATGAACTATGCTGTGCTGCCGCCCGAGACGCCTCTACCTCGTGCGTTGCTCCCGTGCGATGCTGCCTGAAACGAGAACTCTCGCGTCGCCGTCGTTTCGTGACAGTGACACGCCTGCGGGGCGCGTGGTGCCGGTCCGTCACGATTGCATAACCGTCGATCGTGTGTCAGCCCTCGGCGACCGGGAGAGGGTTCCTCGCGGTCCAAGCGGGATTCTGTGATCGCGCGTCGTCGCCGGAGAGGATGCACCGATTGTGTTCGAGGCGAGGGCAGCCGCTGGCTCCGTCGACGGCGAAATCGGACGGTCCCGAGATCGAGCCTGCGAAACTTCACTGACGAATCTCGGTTGACGATTATCCCCCCCCCCCGCGCACCGCCAAGTCTGTTTCTCCTCGGGAAGCAATACACGTAAAGCAATACTGGCGCGTGGACCACGTCTGACACACGCCACGACCGTCTCCACTTCGCTCGCGCCGTGTCGTCTCGTTTTCGTCGACCGTAAAATAAATCAAAAGAAAATGATAATAATGCGACGACGTCCTACAACGATGCTGTCCGATTGTGAGACGCATGCGTTCGCCAAGTCCGAGTGCAGCTAATGAATCGGATCCAGACGAGCTAGGCGTGCGCAATCCGGAAGAGATCCGAAGGAAGAAAGATCGAGGATCACAAAAACGATCGGTCGATCACGAAATGCGAATCCGTTGTCAATCAACGAAGTACAATCTATAGAATAATTGTTAACAATCAAAATCGGGACGTGTAATCTCGGGGCAAGTTCAGATTTCGATCTCATTGATTACGCCAAAACGATCTCTATGCTTATCCGTGACGAGGCGAATTAAATTAAAATTGCAGTAGTGGATTTTCTTTCGCGCGAAACATCGGAAATGCAACTCGTCAAGATTACGCCCGTTACAATCACTAACTTTATGGTACTTGAAGAATAACGTGTCGATCAGTATGATCGGTTGTCCGATATTGCGGGATACACGTGTACGTGAGGTACCGCGAGTTACGTAATACGCCTATCTATAAAGCTACCTATAATAGGCTACAATAGACGTCCCCGGAGAGAATAAAGAGGGAGATGAAATCGAATCCGAAATTGTTGTTTGATTAGTGGAGCGAAGAACCCCTGATGGACAATGAAACTCTTTTATTTATAATCTAGTCAACGAGACTGAACGACACTGGTTTTTTAGATTATAAAATCTAGAATAAAGTGAGAGATAATTTTTATCGAAGGAAATAATTCATTGCCATTTAATAATATACCCAAATATACCGAAACAAATAGAAAAGGAGAAAAAAAAGAGATAAATCAAAGTACAATCGCATGAGCGAACGTGGTTAGTAACCGACAGAATTGAATTCGTCTTAATTAACTTTACAAGGCTCAAGCAATGAAATCGCGTCGGAGTTAACAAGAGCTGGTGCGGCGCAAGTTGTGAGGAATTTTTTGCAAATCACCGATAACCATAGGTACAAAAACTGCGAGCGGCTGGAGGAGGCGAAGCCTCCCGCCGCACAAGCATTATCGTAAGTATTGTAAGTTTTGCAAAATATTTTGTCACCCGCCTGTCATCCACCACTATATGACAGCTTACATTTATTTATAATTTACATGGTATGATTTATTATATTGTTATAATGATCTGTTACTATAATTTTATATTTTATAACTTATATCATATAACAGACTTATATTAGAAGTGTTCCCTTCTCAAATGAAAGAGATATATTAAATATATTTTATGTATATTTAAATATTTTCTTCTTGTACTCATTTCTGTTGTCTTCTTTATAATATTATTTTCATTTATCAATAAATTACATTTACAATTTTTTTAGAAATTTGAATATTACGTGAACGTCATTAATTATATCACAGTTTTCCAAAGGTTAAAATCAACGCGCTCTCGCAAACAAAAGGATCGATTACTTGATTATATACGTGTATTAACATGAGCTAAAATTAATTAAAAACTTCAGTAAAAGCCTGTACCTATGCATAATTAAAGTTTCTGTACTATAATACCATGGTGAGATAACAATAATGGCCCGACACCTTTCAAAGCATAACGTGGTAATTTGTATACACTTAATCCAATTAATACGTCAGCGTACTTCCCTTTTCCAGTTCCTATAATTTAGCACGTTAATTAAAGAAAACTTAAAAATATTTTTTTATTACTTCACAAAAAAAATTTACCTATTGAAGACCTATAATGAATACAATCGGTAAAACATAGATATCGCGATTATTTCAAGTTACATAGTTTAAGGTATATATTTCGTTAGATAAAATTTAATGTAATTTATAACTAAAGAATTGTATATACATATTAAAAAACTAAAAAAAAATACATATATATATATATATATATATATATATTTCTTCAGTATAAATTATACATGTGTATATATAAAATATATATAAAATACATATAATATATAATTTAAAAAGTATATATGTATATATTTTTAAATGCCACCTTGAAAGAGATAAATCGATAATTTCTTTCATATATTATGTGTAGATATATATATATATATATATATATATATAATATATATGGTCGTTGATCCCTGGTTAGAAGAGACAGTACTCCGGAGTTTCTCGTCAGTCGATCGGCGAACTTCGACCACGAAGGTCGTCTGAACGCGGCGATAAATGCAACGCGAATATTCGCCCTTCGCCGCGAGTGCAATGTTCTAATTGCAATTATAAATCTGATGGATCGCACGAAGGACAATGAATTCCCATCGAGCTCGATCTTACACGCGAATAAACGGCTTTTGGGTAAACGAGATTCGTTTGTCAATACACGTGTGATGTCTCGATAAGTTCAACCATACAGAATGCATGTGAGATATTTTTATTTTTATTCTGAAAAAGTCGAAGATCGATATCCATTTTATTTAATCATCAATTTTCTTGCCCTACATGTGAAAATATATATTTTTTCCTCCTGATTTAAATATAATTGATACTTATTGAGGTACTTTACAATGTAATGCATGTCTTATTTGTAAAGACGTTTAATCTTCCGAATTGATTCAATGATTTAATTATGAATTGGGAATTGATTTTCCGTTATAAAGCATTTTCGTTATAAGCATCCGTCGCGTCGGTGCTTTTATTTATTCGGCGGCGTGGGTTGGCGCATCGTGTTCAAAAGAGCGGAATAAAATCTCATATAAGCATCCATAATTACACGTCGATTTGGTTATGCGAAAGCAATGTCGCGAGTACAGCTTTCAGCCAATTTGTAATTACTGTATCGCTCATTACAAATTTGTCGTCACTCACGCATATGTTTCACTTGAAATTCCATAAATTAAAATTTCATGAAATCGCAAAGCTTCTCTCTGCACGTTCCGTACACGCATTTTCGCATGCGGCGTATCCTCGCCGATTTACATTTTATTTATTTATCTTTTCATGGAATTGTACGCTTAAATTGAGCTCACTCGGTCGTGGGTGCCATGCAAACTTGTTGTTTCACTCCTGCGCACGTGATCATAAAGTAATTTTACGATTCAAAATACTTGCGGAGACAAATGAATCCTCGCACGAAAGGTGCGTGGTATATCATGATTTATGGGTGACATGAGTCCCTAAAAATATTCTCTCGCTTCATGAATAATATATTTTTACGACGGAGAACTAGAGTAACTTGCTGCAAAGTCGGCAAAACAAATGTCAGGAGCATCTTTCTCCCCAGCTTTTTTTGCACGGGACGGACTTTCGCGTTTCGCGAAACGATCTTCTAACTTGACTGCCGCGTAAAGTTCGTTCCGCAATATCTTCCGGATATCCATCTGAATATTGTTAACTAATTCATTTATTCCATCGGGCCGCGGCGCGCCCTCTCCGCGGACCTGTCATATTTAACAATTATGCCCGCGGAAGTGCGAGACGATAATTTTCTGATACTTTTAACCACGTGCATATTAATTAGGCTGTGTAATATTTATCAACGTTAATTGTACGCCACGTGGATTCTTCGCGAGTACCTCGCTTTGTTTCAAGATTATAATGTATTCTAACAGAGAGCAAGCTTCTGAATTTAATACTGATGGGAGAGTTGATTATAACGAGTGCTCTTTGTGTAAAACAGTTCTTGTACTTTGAATAACTTTGGTTGATCATACGATATTGTACACTCCCGTATACGTTTCATCAAAATTATATAATTTGCAGAACTTTAACGCACCCATCACGGAAGTGTTTCGCGAACGAGGTTTACTCCTCTCGTTGCAATATTCCGGAAACCGGATCTCATAGTTACGGAATAAAATAGCTTTGCTATATATATATATATATGTATGAGCAACAAGTTCTTATCTCGTATTATTTATTACGTGTTATTAGCGCGTATACGATTCTGTCATCTCTGTCGCAGAGCTGGACCTCGATTTTTTGGAAAGAAGAGGCGGAAATACAATAACTTACGAAGGCGCCGAAGGAGGATCGAAAGAGGAGGACAGCCCCGCGGACACATTAGATCGCGTTAAGGTCATCTTCCTGGGTGCACCCGGCGTGGGAAAGACGAGCATAATCCGAGTAAGATTTAATGGACAGGATTGGACCTCTCAACTAGACGTTAACTTTCATATACTTTCGTATACTTTGCGTGAAACTGCTCTCTGCCCTGCAAATCTCTCAATTAATATCTCTTGGATATTAAACGTCCACAGCTGGATATATCGAAATTCTAAAGATCTAATTACCTTAATAAAAAGACATTTTAATTAACATAATTTGTGAATTTGAAGATTACAAATATATTATATCAGTCTTACTTTTATGTAATTTTTATCAATCTGGCAAAAAACGAAGACGCAGCGATGACTTTGCAAATATCCTGCACGAGAGTGCAATTATACACGCGGGTCGTACGATCGGCGAGAATCTTTGTCAGAATTTTTGCTTCAAAGTCGGGAAGGAAACAAATCGCGGAAACGAGTCGCTCGGACGCTCCGTTCATTTCCGATAGTTTCCGCTTATCGATGACGACGATTATCGGCTCTCCGAGGAAATTAAAAGGCACGACGAATATCCTAAGGAAGCCAGGTCACACTTTTGACATTTCTTTTAATGGTCGAAATTCCAGCTCCGAACACTCTGGCTTTCGTAGGAGAGCTTTCGATCGACCTCCTTCGTATCCATAATTATATCTTTACGAATTCGTGATTTTTTCGTTTGCGCGATTTTTGCCTTCATATAGCAATTCGCTTTTACGAACTCGTGATTTTCGTTTGCGCGACTTTTGCTGCCAGCAATTCGTCTGGAGCGAGTTTTCCGAGGAGTACAGACCGACCGAGAAGCGGGAGACGTTTTATCCGAGCGTGGTGCTGGCCGATCGATTATACGAATTGAAGATCACCGATCTGCCTACCATCCCGTACTTCCCGGTCAGCTCGCACCTGGAATGGACGGACTTCCGTTATTACGGACTACGGAGCGCGACAGCGTACGTGCTCGTGTTTGATCTCAGCAATCAGGACACGTTTCAGGTATCTACAATCGAGATTGAATGTTGAAAAAAAAAACGCGACAAATTGCGAGAGCGGGCCTCTTCGCGAGAGACGGAACTTCTGCTTCGGACGAACGTCAGAAACACGGCACAGCCGTCGTCACGACTTCCGCGCTTATCTCTTTTTCGCAAAGTTTTCCTCGCGAGCTTTTTCCTTTCTCGCGAAAGCCGCCGTCACGACTTCCGACTTCAAGTCGCGTCAAAGTTGCCGGCATAAAAGTTTGATTATCTGGATTGTTTGTCTGGGGGTTTGACGAAAGATGGTCTCTCGAGGACAAAGAGTAACGGCAAGTTAGCTGACGTTAAATCGATTTTACTAATAGTCAGTCAAAATGAAAAACGCACCGTGACGTTGATAACATTGTTACGCGAGATTGGTACAATAAGTAATTAATGACTGCAGAGAAGAATCTTTCTAAATTGTGTTTACCTTCTTTGATAATATTCTAACCTTCTGACCTTAAAAGCGTGCACTCAGATAGCCCACGTATAAGATCGATAGTAATAAATTAAAATACTGAGAAAAAAAATAATTTAAAATATCGTATGCACTGATCTTCAATTAATCTTTCCATGTCTGACATTTAAAAAAAAAACACATCTGCTTTAATTATTTATGGATCTTATCAAGCAAGTAATTTTTTATACTTTACAATAGTTTTTACGATAATAATTTCTTATTGAAGTTTAAGCGGGCCCCTTTAAAAAGTGTCTTATTTGCTTTTAATGATTCAATGTTTAACAGAGATATGATTTTTTTTAAACACGCTGACATATGTGGCCCGCTGGACATGAATGAATTAACGCGTGTCAATCTCGCATGTGTTTTTCGTTCATTTTTTCGACCGATTGTGTTCAGTACATCAGAACGTTACGCGAGCAAATCTACGAGGCGCGCGACATGAGAGGCGTACCCCTGCTGGTGGTTGGGAACAAGCAGGACGAACTGTCGCAGACCGTCGCTTCCGGGACCAGGTACCGAGACATCGTGAACCTCGTCCGGAAGCATTGGAGATGCGGTTACGTCGAGTGCAGTGCCAGATTTAACTGTCGCGTGGTGCAGGTGCGCGTTATACATTATTTATTAATCTCGCCCACCGCCAATCTGCGTCTCATTCGTATTAAGATCAACTTAACTCTGTTAGAATTTTAATGTACGCTTCAATTACCGTTCATATTTAGCATTTAATATACTAAAATTGCGCGTAACGCGGTTACTGAGGTACTCGCTAAATCGACGACGGGAAAATTCGTCGAAGAGCTTGAAAATAAGCTCGAGGTTTTCGGAAAACCCTATTATTTTGAATTTTCTTAAATTTTAGCTCTACTGTCTATTTTTTTTCTCTTTTTTTCTTAATCCAGTCCTTGCGTGTATTATGTTTGCTGACCATTCATGTGTTCGCCTCTTAAAAAAAGCTGAGAGAGCGTCAATCAGGGAGACTAGCATTGTACCTTTTGATGATCGACAGGTTTTTCGGGAACTGATGAAGAGCATACAGGCCATAGAAGGTAGGCCGAACTCGCCGTCACCCGCGGCGACGCAACCGATGCGAGCCCATCCACACGACACCGGCGAGAAGTGCATTCTTCTCTGACATTAAGACTAGACCCGCTTCCCCGTTATGAGGCAGTCGATTATACAATGCATCGTGTCGTATCGTGTGCCACACTTGTCCGCGAGCAATGAAACCATCAGAGCGACGAGGACTCGCTCGATCGAAGAAGAGCACGTCGCTCAAGAGTCACGAGAGAAACGAGAGCGGCGGACGTCACATGAAGGTGACTCTTCTAACGACTGCAAGTCGAACGTGTGTGCGCAATTACGCGACCGAGTGGACGAGCGATTTTGAAATAAGCGACAATAATAATCGAGATTTACGTCAACGGTGAATCCGCTGCGACACGCGAATTAATCACCGCTTGAATCGTATATATCGGAGATTTCGTAATCCAGCGAGGGGTGGGGGGGAGAGGAAGGGTCTTGTTCGCTGAAATCTCGGCAAGGACGAAGTTTTCAACGGAAAGGATCTGACTCCCCCTGCAGTATTCACCTTTTTGTATTCACAATTGCATTAGCCGCACGTTTAACGATTTTCCTTTCGCATAGACCGTCGATTACGATATTAATTGCAGTATATTACGATGATAAGAATTATAATTTTTTAGACAAATTCAATTTCAAGCAATAAAATTACTTTCGCGTGTCTGTCGAAACTACGTGTGTACTACCGATTTTCAATGAGTTTCGTTCTCCGGACGGAACGGGATCGTGCGTAGAAATTAACACATGTGTTAGAGTGTTCGGAAGAACAATTATTAAATAGCGTAAAAACGTTAGAAAAAAAAGCTATATACGATACACTAAGCGAGAAGCAAGAAGGTAGCGAAATGCAGCGCGGAACTCCTCTCAGCTCAACCCTTTCCCGCGTTCGGCCTAATTATATTCACGCTGTAGGTAGCTGGTACTTGGCGAGGACGAAGCAATAGTATACATATACATACACACATATATTTTACTATGCTGTTAAGAGAGTTATTGGTTAATCGGTTATTGATCTAATGTTAAGAACGGTCAGTCGATCGCGTGTAATCGTTAACATATTATCGAGATGTTGTATACACATAGATTCTATCGGCATGTATCGTGTGTTAGCGTTGTTACTGTTTATATTTACTCTAAGACGGATGCTACGTGCACGTAATTTCTACCTTAGGTGTCTCTCTCTCTCTCTCTCTCTCTCGAAATAAGTCGCCAATCCCCGGGACTCGTTCACGACGCACCGAGTTTGTCGCCGTTACACACCAGCAATAGAGTGAGAGCGTCGCCGACGTTATTATCTGTTACGTTTGAACGCTCGAACGCACATGTTAAAAGTGTCACACGAGACAGCGGCATATAAAGGATACGTAAGATCGCTCAATTCCAATTTGCATAAACGCAAAGTTAACCGGAAACCGATTTTGTAACGGCTGCCGGCTGCCGGCGCGAGAGAGTGCGACGGCGCCGGCAGCGACCGGCAAAGGGTGGGATATGTGATCCCTCATTTTGTATGCACATGCACGACGTTCACAATAAAAAGCCAGTGAGACATTAGCCGTGAACTATATCATTTTAAACTCTCACTTGCACAATTATTTTTCAGCAACGATGTGCCCCGAGTGCGGAAGTTCTTTTTGAATGGAAGAGAACCGCTTGAAGTGTATATATCACGAAAACAGCGAAGCAGCAAACTCGAAAGCTCTCGCTTCTGATTTTTCTTCAGAAGCGAGAGCTAAATGTGTCAAAATGCCTCTAAAGTGATTTAACGAGAAAATTCTTCCGTTTAGTTCAACGTAAAAAGATAAATTCAAGTATTACGAAAGAGCTTACCATTACTTCATCTTGTACATCTTCCGCGCGCAACGTGTTACACGTTAATTCGGGTTCACGATTGAACAAATTATTACGAAAGATATGTTACGTCTGTCAAGAGGACTCCGGTGTCACAGAGTCCACATGTTCGTTCCGTGGGACGGGAGGAAGAGTTGCGTGATGCAATTTCCCGGCGATGGGCAAGCCAGCTTCGGAACGGGGGAACGGCACGTACTGACGGTTGGAAAACTAATTTATCAAAGTACGCGAGATCGCGCGTGCGAATGTAATTTCGCAAAATTCGGGAATTCTATCGAAGTGACGTCGCGTTTTAATCCACGCGAGAGATAACGTATAAGAGCGACCCTTCTGACGAGTGCGATGAATACGGAATCTGTCGCCCTAAGGTGAGCAGGACGAGGGGAGAGCCCAGCACGAGCACAAATCTAAAGGAGGCCCTATGCGAGAAGATTCCCGTGCACCACGATCTTCTGAGAAACTTTCGATTTCACTTCGGCCCGAGCGTCGTTAGTCAGATCACGGTCGAGGACCTGTACGCGGGATTAAGCGACGTAAAAACCATCGTCAGGGAAACCTCGGAACTTGATCCTAAACACGGCGTAATAATCGCAGAATGTTTAATCGCGAATTGTTAAATTCATCTGTCCGTAGCTATTATTCGAGTCGCATAAAACGTGGCGCAAAAAATTAGATGAAAGGAACGGTATTACGAATTTTCCATCATTTTATGAGTTTGATCGTATTTCAGTCTTATCTTTTTTATAAATTAAAAGACAGAATATTTACTAAAAAAAAACAAATAAATAGATAAATTAATAAATTAAATATTGAATATATAAAAAATATATTATATATATAATTTTTTTAAATGTATGTACATAAAATATGATACAATTTTATAAAATCAAACTTTTCATTTTCGTAAAACTTTAAATTCCGTAAAAATCTAACATTAAATTATTAAAAGTTTCATCAAGCACAGATTTACACAATCTTTCCGTTTAAAACTTTAACGTTAAAATTTAAACTTCTCCAGATCGTGTACCGTGGATTGACTATACCGGAAGTGATCGCTCTGCTGCCTCGCGAAGGAAACTCGCCGAGCGCGGAAGCTGTGTTTTGGTTGCTCTTAACCGGCGACGTCCCGACGCAGCAGCAAACCGCTTCATTGATCGCCGACTGGACATCGCGACGTAAAAAATGTACAGAATGGTGGTCGGGACCACGGGGTGAAACGATAGCTTCCGTTCTACGCTCGATGCCTGAGACAATTACCCCTTTGCATAGATTGTCGGTCGCGCTCACAATTTTCGACGTCAGCAAACAGGCGAAGGAGGCCAAAAGGCACGGTGCTATGCCCTACACTTATTGGGAGGTAGTCGAGAAGATACTTTGTCATCATAAAAATTTGCTCAATAAATAGAAACTTGATAAAAAAAAACTACCAAGGATTATTCGTTAAAATTTACATTGCAAGTAATAACAATCAAAATATTTCCTTTGTATAATAATAAAACACGCAATAAAAAATGCAATTATATCTTTAAAAAGAGTAAAATACTATAGAAATGTTATAATATAAATAGCAAAAAATGTTTACGCGAAATATCAAATTTCATGAATTCATGAATTTTTATAATCAAGACTAATTAACATAGAAACAAATGACATGTGATTTTCTCTGCATATATAGGAATACACTTACATTGGAGACAGTTATTATATCTACCATGTATTAATTAACGCGTAAATTATTATCTATCATGAATTAATTAACTCGTGAAATAACATATGTTCGATTTTAAGTATACCTATGAAGATGGCATGGAATTTCTCGCAACCCTACCAGCGATCATCGGTCTGATTGCCAGAGGCCAAACATTGACGAATGTGAGCGGTGACGGCGATTGGGTGCAATTTTTATTAGATTGTTTAAACAATGAGAGTTTCGACGGCCGAAAATCATCGATTGCGGATTTCCTCAGGCTATACATCACTTTAAACGCGTATGTAATCGCAATTTCTCATTATTCTTACAATATAGAAATTTTTTGTTTCTGGCAAAAATAAATTTGAATATTAAACATACGTTAAAAAAAACCGTAAAGCTAATTATAACTAAATATATTAACTTATATTTAGCGAATTAAATAAAACAAAATACTATAAATAAGAGATAAAAACGCGTTTCGAGTAAATAATAGCAATTATAGCTGCAAAATTGTATCTTTTAATTTAATTAAGTATAAGAGGAAGGATACGAGAGAATTGAACGATCTATCTTAGCAGTGACGACGATGGCGGGGCTCCGATCGCTCATGTTACGCAAATTTTGGGTTTAACGGATCTTCATATAAATGAGGTATTAGCTAGCAGCGTTTTGGCGCACATCGACGAGCCTAAGAGTGGAACAATGTTCGAGGTAAAGAGAATTATTTATTTTTGTATTTCTTATATTGAAAATCTATTAATATATATATGTATAACTTGCAGTGGAAAGAGTTGCAAACGAAAATCAAGAACACGCTCGGCCGAACGTGGACGGAACACGCTTTGAAAACCTGCGTGCTGAATTTGTGGAGCAGGGACAAATTGACGGGGCACAGGGAGGCCGACTTCTGCGATCCACGATACACCGCGCTCCTGCATTACGCGAAGCAATATCTGTCCGATAATTCGGACGTAAAGGTATATACAAACATAAGAATGTACTCCCTTTACGCGGCGCGAAGGGAAAATATTCATTTCTGCAAAGAGGTACAAGTGAGTAAAACTTTACAGCTCTCGCAAGACATCACGCGGATATTAAGGTCGACGATGGGAAGACCGAAAAGAAAAGAGGTTTACCCGGAGCAGAATGCCCTGGCTCCTGTTATTTTTCAGGTAGACTTTTTTTACGGGAAAATTTAATTGGCGCGCAAAAACATTCGATCCGCATTATCCGCATTATAGAGCTTGGTATTACTATTGTATTTCATTTGCGTGTATAATTTTTGGAATAATTTAATTTTATTATACTTGCAGAATAATTCAAATTGTCCACTTTATCATCTAAATTATTTACTATGAATTTTTATATATTACAAACACTTATACACACACGTACACTCAGTTAGATTATTTAGAATTTTTATTGATATAATTTCTCTGTTTAGTATTACGGACTGGAAGACATGAGGCTCAATCAGACGATACTTTACATGGCGCGGGCCTTGGGGGCGATCGCCTCGATCATATGGACAACAGTAGTAAACGCGCCTGTCGAGCATCCGATATCGCGTTGCACTCACAGTTACATCGAAACAATTCGCGACGACAATGCAAAGAAACGGAAAGGGCGCAGGACGCGAAAGTAAACGGAAACGAAACCGCGTGTACGATTATAGGCGCTCACCCGTCAAAGTAAACTAACAATAAGTAGCGACATTTATTTCTCAAAGTTCAACGTTTCGATCATCAAATATTTATTTATTTTTCTACCACTGTACGCCTTGTAACAATTCGTCTTGGAAATAACGACAACTTATTAGAATCCATAGCGTCTCATTTGAAACAAAATGACACCCTCAACCCTACGTTATATATACTCGTGGGGTTTTTTTGTTAACTTAATTACTCGCGTGCGGTGTATCGAATCTTACACCCCAACATTATATCTGAATTTTCATTTTTCTCTTTGATGATTTAATTACAATTAAATGAAAATTGATAATATTCTATATACCTTCTAAAAATTCTAAATAAAAATAACAAGTGCGAATAAAATTCTTCTTTAATTGTGAAATGATTTGCGCAGCTTTCGCAGTCGATGACAAATTTTTATTCTGCGAATTTAGTAGATTTCTAAGACTAGGGTGTATTTTACATCCCACGCGAGTAATGTTAATGTAAAAAATAAAACGATAAACACGTACCTCTCTTTCTCTCTCCCCTTCATCGCTGTCGCGAGGCCAATGAGGCCATTTTCGAGACACGTGTCGACATCTACACGCCGGTCCCGGTATTCTCTGACGGAAGGCACGAGCGCGACGGTAAGGCAGGTTTCCCCCGTTCCGGTATCGAGATACATAAAAAAAAAATATTAAAATAATAAATGGCTAAACGGCATTCGATTTTTCGGGCACATCGTAGTTGATTTGATCCGAGAAGGTGCCGCTTTCTCATCCACATTCCGCGGGTTCCGGGCGGGGCAGGGAGAGGACAATTTTGCGAAATGCGTCTCGCGAGAGCATTCGCGAAAACGCGCGTGGACCGCTCACCTGCGCTCACCGCTCTGTCCGCTTTCAGTACGCGTGCCCGAGCAAGGTCCAATCCATGGTAGAAATACAAGGGTATGCTCATACCGTGTCAGACCACTGCGCATTCCCACCACTTTTTTCCAAGCTTACGTCATATTCGTGTAGCATCGGAATGAATCGGATGTACTCGGTGATTCGCAATGGCTGCGTTCGCTCGGTTCGCTGTTTATGTCGAGTAATTCGTTTGTGATTATTACAGTGTACGCAATGACGTGTAATGTGAAAGGGTGTGGGAACTATCTGGCAAAGACCAGAAAGATCGAAGGAAATAAAATAAAATATTTTTCCTTCCCAAAGGATCCAGCACTGTGTAATAAGTGGCGTCAAGCATGCGGAAAAGAAAATATTTCACCAAAAAATGGTTTGTACTTTTGTATAGATTTCTCTTGTTTATTATTATAAGCATATATTTAAGAATCTTAAACCTTGTTTGCTTCAGCTAGGATATGTTCGAAGCATTTTGCTGATGAAGCTTTTACGAAGCCCTTACGAGAACATCTACTAGGTTATTCACCTATACGAACTAGGAAGATACATCCTGATGCTATCCCGACGTTGCATCTCCATGCAGTACCTCCACTAACATCAAACGAAAATGTGTTAGCTGAAACAATGCCTTTGCCTGTATCAAATGAAGTTTCGATGGATGTTGAACAGACACCAGCATCGTCCAGTATAGAAGAACAGACACCAGCATCGTCCAGTACAGAAGAACAGACAGCAGCATCGTCCAGTACAGAAGAACAGACACCAGCAAAATATAAAGCAAAATATATAGCCGGATACGTAGCATTTAGATTTAAAAGCACAGATAAAACATTAGGTATTGAAACGCGCCAATTGGAAACAACGGGTGACCAAGATTGGCTGCAAGTTATTTCGCGAGGAAAATGTATGTATCCGAGTGACAAATTATTACAATGTGCTCGTATAATGAATATTGAGTTTGCTAAATATCACGGATCCAGTTTGAATAAAGAAAATCTTATATTTCAAAACTTAGCAAAAATAATAGAACCACAATTGAAAATTAAAATACCGAGAGAGGCATTACTATGCCTCATTAGGACTAGGACATATATTAGGCTGCGCGAAATGAACCGAGCGATTGCAAGCGCAAATCACAGGCAAAAAAGAAGAAAGATGTCAAAATTTACTAATAAAAAACCTGTATATTAAATATTTGCATTTATTGTTATTTGATCTTTTATCTGCATCTTTCCTCTGCATATATAGTTCTTTATGTCGTACGCCACAATATATTTTTGTTTTGCGTCTCAGCTGACAATTCTTTTCCAATCGTTTTCCGACCAGTTTTGATTAAAACTAATAATTCGCAGAATTTTAATAATAAATGACTGGAAATTAAAATCTCGTTTTATGTGAAATTTTTCCGTACGTCGCAATGATTTTTATTCAATGCACACAATTCTTTTTTTCTTAATAATAATAATATTTTCTGTAATATCATATATTTAGACAAATCCACATAAAATAATTATAAAATTCGTCAAATAACAATAACGTTTCTAACATCTACAACGAGAGACAAATTCGGGAAACGATGAGCGTTTATCCGTATGTCACGTGCGTTTTTTTATATTTATATATTTTTGTTCATATATATTTATTTATTTATAAAACAGAATTTTCTCTCACATAAATGATCAACATTATTTTGTATTCACATATTGTCCGCTCAAAATGCTTTTATAAATGACTATTATAGATTCGCTGCTTAAATGTGCCGCTCAGTGTGACGTAAGCTTGCAAAAGTCGCTGATTGGCTGGGTTCGGAAATATGCGCAAGAGCATACCCTTGTATTTCTACCATGGTCCAATCGACATCGTACAGATAATCGCGTGGAAGAATGGCGTGATGCGACGACGTGTACTCACACAGTACTCAACGCTTCGTAGTATTATTATGACGGACGGGCGGCTGCCGAGAGTGAGCGCTCGCTGCGTGAAACAAACGTGAGGGTCTCGCGCGACCGCGAACCGGATTCTCGTGGGGATTTCGCACGGACCTCCCGCGGGACTGTGGAGCGAAGAAATGAGCATCTCTCGACGATCGTAGCGGGATCTGCGTGATTACGATCTCTCGCTAAAGGTATAAATACATACCTCTACGTCTCGGAAAACCGTTGGAGACGAACGGTGCCCTCGTCGACATTCGATTTCCTACTTTCGACGTTTTTTTCTTTGTTTTTATGTATATTGCGACCATACGACATTTATTCGTTTATATTTTACCGGAGTACGTATATACAAGTGACGTGTTTAAAATGCGGTGATGTATTCAAATGTTCGATTCGGGGTTACTTCGCACGGATATCTCGACGAAATCGCACTCGACGGGTTTTCAGCGTAAAAGCAAAGGTTTGAAAGTGAAGATTATTGTGAAAAATGTTAAATGTTGGAGACGACGCGTCTGAAGGTTAGAAAATCTGTCCTACCGACAAAACGCACGAGTGTGCGTCATAACAGAGATAATCAGATAACGCAAGGAGAGAAATGGAGCCAGTTATTATGCGATTTCAAAGGAAGACTTATTAAAATTTAATTAATCTACTTGCCAGCCTTATGAAAAACGGAAGGAGATTCTTGAAACAGCTGATCATGGAATAATATTACTGTACATATTGAAAGACTCGCCTCAGAATCTATAAAGAAGACAAAAGAAGAGGATTGAAGTCAATAATCGATTTCTTTATGAGAATCTTTACGAGCAACTTGCTTGCGATATCAGAAATTCGCTGTCTATGTTTACTTGATCAAAAACTCATAAATTGTGATACGTTGTCACAGACAGAGAATAAGAATCCACAATTGAAATACAAATAATTATAACATGTATGATATATATTATAATTAGTAATAATTGTAACTTTATGATTTCGCTGTTCGCGGAGGAGAGACACCGTGGAAAGTTTAGAACGAAGCTTCACCTGTTTTCTGCGTTCAGCGAGATCCATAAATCATTTATTTAATTATATGCAAGGTTTCATGTTTTGCGCATCACTTCTGTCACGTGCTCATATGCGCGTCGAATATTTCGTCGATACGACAGATTTCTTAACCTTCTCGAAATGCGTCATCTTTAGCGGTTGATTGATGGATTTTACGGTGCCGAGCAATTATTTTTCGAGCCTCTTCGTTCCTCATTCGGGAAGGACGTCGAACGAATGCGATTTCGTCAAAAACGCAGTCGTGTCTAATATTTACTAACACATGTATCCGTTCCGATTACTTAGGAAATAAACACATTACGTAACATTCTATATCGCTCTGTTTACTTTAATATCATTAAGAGCATCTCGCGTAGATCGCACGTTATAATGATGTAATAAGGGGATTTGACGGGCCATTGATATCCACGCGCCGTGATATCCACAAATTGACAAAAATGTTTGCATTTGCAGATAAAATATGGCTGAGAATAGGCCGATAGAAGAGACAGCGAGCGGACATTGTGACTCGAGGATGCCACACATACTGACGTCGGATGAAAATGAAAATGGACAAATTCAAGAATCGCCAAGCGGTACCCGGTACACCCTGGCCGGTATAAACCCTGGGACGGCGTTTAATTTTGGTGTTAGAACGGCGGAACGCTCTAGAATATTTGCGGGTAATATCTCCTCCACCATTCAAGGGATTCGTCCTCTTATACAACAGGCAGCGGTATGTAGCATCAAGAGAGTCGTCGCATTGCCGATGTTCGAGGGTGGCACGTTAAGCTAATTGCTCTTTCTGTCGTAACAGCCCAACATAACGTTGACGTCGCTCTTGGCCATTCACGGACTCCGGAATCAAGTCCAACCAGTCACGTTACCGAGCGATAGCTATGTGATCAATCTAGAAGAGCCCGTAACGAATGGTCCCAGTTCTCACGATGAACCCCGCAACCATCGTCATCATCATCACACAGCGTCGACAATGCCGAACAGTTTATCGAGTAACGCGCATGAGGCTGCGAACGAAGTTGCCGAAAACCACAATAATGCAGAAAATACTGCTAACGGCAACGTCCAGATAGGCCCGGAGGCTCGGGCGTTGCTGAAGCATCTTCAACAATACGTTCCCTTTGTCATTATTCTTCTCGCCAAGAGTCTGTACGATCACCGGGCCGGGATACTCACGTTCATTGTACTGCTCGTCACGTTCATTCACGCTAACAATGACCTCAAGCGCGAGATTGCCAAGCAGCACAATCGGAGTTGGTCGTTGCTCACGTTGATTCTGTGCTACATCACCGCCTGTATCGTGTTCGTCGTTTACACATTTAATTTCTACACTCTCGCTCCTTACGCCGAACCGCTCACAATCTGGGACTTGCTTTGCTACGTCACGGTGATGGACTTCTTCCTTAAACTCATCACCATCGTCTGCAAAGTTCTCTTGACTTGCCTGCCGGTACGATTATTGGCGTTCCAGAATCGGGTGAGTACTAATTTCTTCATTCGCTATTTCAACTTGTCGGACAGGGTACATTACAGGTGACGTATAATCGGATAAAAATGAATTAAATTTCAGGGAAAATATTATCTCATGGTAGAAGCGATGTCGCAACTTTATCGATGCGTCGCGCCTGTTCAGCCGTGGTTGTATTACCTGCTCGAAACGTATCAAGGTCCAGAGAAGATTGTGGGAATTTTCTTCTCGATAATGTATACAATGAGCAAGGGTAGCGATCTACTATCGCGTCTTAAATTGCTCCGCACCGCTGGGTGGAAACTGTTCCAAAACGTGGTACGCACAATTCTCATGTGATACAAATGTTTTTAAAATTGTCATTATGTAATATAATCATGCTGTAATAATGCCTTTTTACTAATAGAGCCTTGGAGTGTCTCCGTCGAAGGAACAGCTGATTGCATCCGGCGGTATATGTGCCATTTGCCATGAAGAATACACCACACCGGTTAGACTTCATTGTAAACATATTTTCTGTGAAACATGCGTCTCGACGTGGCTCGACAGAGAGCGATCGTGTCCCCTGTGTCGCGCGTCCATCACGGATGATCCGATTTATCGGGACGGCCATACAACACACTTCATTCAATTGTATTGATTCCGCCAAATATTATCTCTTTAGAGATAATTTTTTGTACAGTTTTTTATTACTGTGTGAAAATGTAAGAGCTTCTGTTAACGGCAAATGTTTTCCATCATTACGGTATTTTCCATTATTTAACGTAATCGAATATCTTCAAATTTTTATATCCTTTGGGTTATTTTAGACAAAACTTCAATAACAAATAATATCTTTTAGTAAAACCAAATGCATTGACAAGATGCTTACATTGAAGAATTGTACGTTTAGATATGTAAAATATGTTGTATATACATGGTCATATTTAGGAATTTTATAGCGTTAAATTGAAAGACTCATGATAATAAGGGTCAAGAACTGAGAAAACATGGATTCCTTCATAAAAATAAAATCGTCTTTTACGGGTAATTCAAGAAGCATTTAAATAGATTAACTCAGATAAATTAAAATTTAGACCTATTCAGTTATTCTTTAATCTTAATCAATTAATTTTCTCGGATTTCTATTTTGCATATATGTATATTTTTATTTTAATATTATTAAATAATATAATAAAACATTATATATAATATTAAACATATTATTATTTGTTAAAAATTGCGATTTCAGAGCGTGTAGTTTGTGGCTCATATAATTTTTCATAAGATTGTTTAGAATTTTTCTAGAATTTTCATTTTATGTTACTAAATTTTGCTCAAAAATCGTATTAATAATTTCTTTGTCATGTGATTTAATTTTCAGTTTTAAATCATACCGAGTAACAAGCAGATCTTAAATAGCAATGTGATTAAGCAAAAGATTCTAAAAATTTATAACGAATTAAAAGAAAACGAAGAATCTTCCATTAACCCGAAGTTTATCGCTAATATAGGTTGACTTGAGTTAAAAAGCGTTTTTCATCACATAACAATTTAGGGAAGAAATGCGTCAGCTCATACTAATGTTGATAAAAAGTACTCAGAATTTCAACAAAGTATTGAAAAGAGCGGATATATACACCTTTTAATTTAATTACGTAATAATACTTTATATTATTACGTATCGTACGCATTTCGTGCATGTATTGCTCCGTATGTACAAGTGTTATTTATTCTCACAAATATACAAAATTAAAATCGTTATGCTCTCGTGTATTTCCTTCTACACATCGTTGTATACATGCATACGCGTATGTGTACGAATAAAGTAAACTTAAAAAAGAAAACGCTTATTTACGTCTTTTAACCGAGGAAGTCATAATTCGATACATCCTCAAATTGCTGATTTTGTGCATTACCAGGTGCCATTGGTCTCGTTGCTATCTGCCCTCTCGGTCCTACCATTTGCTGTTGCACTCCGAATACTTGCCGAACGCTGTACTGTGGTTGCGGCTGTAAAAACATTAATTGCAATTTGTATTGTAAACGCTTGTTCTACATATCTAAGAATTAATATAAATAAAGCTTAATTTTTTTAAGTTTTGGGACAGGTTCTCACCTGTTGTAATAAATGTCTGAGACCAAGATTATTGGAAACTGGACGCATCAATCTTTGAGAGCCCGCCTGTTGGTTAGCCATAGCGGCCTGATTGAGGCCTCTCTGTGCCTGTTGTGCCTGTACATATGTGAAAACAATTATTCATATACCTCTCTCGTACATCAAAAAAATATATTTATCAAGATCATTAACCTCAAGTTGTTGCTTGTACTGCATTTCTTGCTGTTGTGCCACTTCTAGATTTTGTTGAATCTGAACAAAAATGTCGCAACCCCCGTAAGAATTTCTAAACTTTCGAAAGTTATTTCTATTAAAAACATATTTACATTCACTTCCAATTGAGACTTATACTGCGCCTCTTGTTGTTGTGCAGCTTCTAACGTTTGTCTCAGATGTTGGATCTTCAACAAATTTTGATGCCTGGCGATCTCTAGATCGTCAAATTGAGGTCGTTGTTGACCGATCATACCTCCAGCTCCAGCGTTTGCTTGCGGACCGCTGATTCCGCTATTCTATAATGTAAAGCGTTTGCTAAATATCTAACCAATATATACATTATTCTATTTCATCGAAATGCCACCATATTTGTATTACCTGCATATTCATTTGAGTCTGTGGACCACTGGTCGAAGTTAAAGTTTGCGGAGGAGCGGTGGACACAACATTCTGTGTTATTTGGCCACCTCCCATCGCCATAGTATTCGTTTGGGACATAAGAATACCCCCCTGTGTACCTGTGGTAGGCATCGGTGCGGGAATCGTATTGCCCGGTCCAGGATTAGCCTAACAAAGTCATACAGTTACTCTCCGATCTCTTTGTGTCAATTGATCTATAACTTATTTACTTACTTGTCTTACAGACGCGTTTTGAGATGTTTTCTGCTGTTGTATAACCTTGCGAAGGCGATCTACAAAAGCTGTTTGATCGTTTGGGATAAAACCTAGATACGTTTTCTTGTCCGTAGTATATAAAAGTATAAGTACTTTTATTTCACAAGCTGGACTTGATGCCGCAGAAGTGAAGTGAACACAACCTGCCTGAATTATATTATATTTTAAGTATCATTGTAGACATGTCGCAGGTATTTATATTATTCGCAGCATTCAATCTCTGCAAACAAAACAATAAATACACTTACAAATCCAGCAGTCATCATTTTCGTTAAAGATTCCAATGCTTCGCACGGCGTTGGGTGAAATACAACGGATTTAGAATTCTTCAGATAGGTACCACCAATACTTCCTATCAGTTGTTTCGGCATCAGTTGCATTATCAGTTTTGGCGGCCACGTGTCTGCTTTCCTGAAAAGCAAAACGTCGTGTAAAATAAAAAAAACACGAAAAGATTACGTCGACAGTGAGAAACGGTAATTTACAGTTCTGGATCTCCGTCTTTCGCATTAGCCGAGACCTGACATGGAACGTGTCTCGTTTGCTTTTGGGCATCTGTGGGATTTTTGGCCTTCTCGATCCATTCCACGATACCCTGCCAGATGTTCTGGCGCTCGCGTGGCACGAGTTGTTGACTTTGTACAGTACCAGTAGATACGTTGCCCTAAAAAGTTACAATGGAACTAATATTATTATTTATTTCGCGTAATCCTTGCCTTATGGCTTAGAATAGCTTCCAATTTACAGTTTACCAAAATATAAACTATAAATTATATATTTTTATCTCATTCTAATATTACTCTATATCACACTTTATATTGCAATGCTTTTTATCCTTTTGTTTGTAAAATTTTGTATAAATATAATAATATGAAATTTGATTACTTGTGCTTGAGAATGCGTTATTGATACTGAAACTGGTGCTTGCTGCGAAGCTGTAACAGTCTGTGGTACTTGAGTAGGTACAGACTGGCTGATACACGACGTAGCAAGTTGAGATCCCGGTTGGCTGTGAGTTGGTTGAGCGGCCATAGACATAGTAGCTTGCTGAACATTTTGCTGCTGTTGCTGCTGCTGCTGCTGCTGCTGCTGTTGCTGCTGCAACTGCATCGTCAAGCGCAGTTGTTGCTGTTGCTGCGTGAGTTGTTGCTGTTGTTGCTGCTGATTAGCTGCCATAACGTTATTGCCAGCTACTGTAAAGTGAACATTACAGAATTTATATGTCTAAGTACATTATAAAGATACAAAAGATAAGATGCAAACGTCCATGCTCTTACCATCTAACCGTTGACTAAACGCAGCTACATTGAGTCCTAACGACGAAGACGGTTGTGTCAGTTGTGCTATTAGCGCACTGTTTTGCGTATTTGCAGACGCGGTCGCACCCGGTGCTATGAACGGCCGCATCCATCTGGGCCTCGTAGCTATGTTTACTCCTCCTGGATGATAATTTGGTGGTGCGGCTATCTGAGGATTGTAAGGCGGCCGCGTGGCGTTTATCGGTGCCGCCATGGACGGCGTTACGGTCTGATGCACAGAGTTAAGATTCTGAGGGGGGGCTTGGTTTCTGAAAGGAGGACCCTGCTGCTGATTCGGCGGGGCGATATTCTGCTGCACTTGATTAGTGTTCGGACTGTCGTTGCTTTGCAGCGGACTCAGGGGTATTTGTGCCGCGGTAGCTGCGGTATTGTGAACGTTACCACCCATTTGGGGACTGACAGGTCGCTCCTTTAAGTTGTAATTTCGCAAAAGCACCAAATGCCGTGGATCCTTGGCATAATTCTTCGTTTGCGAGGACTGTAAATCACCGCCAGCTTTCTCAAATAGTTTATACAATGCCGGAATTTTCCTTGGTGATAATATAGAGATGTTAATACTCCTCTAAAAAATTACACACATATATGACCACATTATATATGTATATAATGTACTCCTTATTAAGCATTTACAATTTGTAATTCTTATGTCACTCACCTCTTGGTAAACGGCAGCTAATTGTTCGATGGTATGACCAGCGAATTTGTAAGTTTCTTGAATCATAGTTTGGTACGGGGGCGAGTTACATATCAAAATACAATGTTTCTGCGAAGCTGTATTTGGCTCTCGTCTCAGCTGTAAGTCTTCAAAACACTGTAATCCTGTTGCAAGACCTTCGCCTATGTTCGCAAATGACTCCCCCTTTCCGCCAACCATTCTAGTAGACAGAACATTATTATTGACAAAATAAATCAATCGATAAAAAGGATATCCAATTTCAAAAATAAGAATTAATTTATTTATGCATAAAAGGTTGATTTGATATGAAAGATAATTAAATCTTTTACTCACTCAAGCTTGTCTAGAACCATCAGTAGCTTGTGAGGATTCGAATAAGGTCCAAGAGTCTCCGTGCATGGAGATGGTAAGCAATCAGCGGCATGGTAAACAACTATTCCATACAACGTTGTGCTATTTTGCTGTAAATTCCAATTGCAGTAAAATAAATTGTAACTTAATCAATTCTTGTACAAGTAAGATTAAGAAATATAATTGCATACCTCGGAAACATATTCCCTGTCTTCTATCCCACCTTGACTGAAATATCTGCAAGAAAACATAAAAATAGAACAATAAAAAGATCCTTCTTTTTTACCTAATATGAGAAGTTAATACAATTTACATTTGTAATAGTAAATGTTAATGTTTGCGACATGTAAATGTATATTGTGTTACATCCACTTTAAAACTTACTCCAATGTAGGAATAACGTAATTCGTTTTAAGATCATTGAGGTACGCGCCGTTGACGGCTGTTCCCTCGATGACAAATATAACATCAGCTTGTATTCCATGCTCAGTTGGTCCTGTCACCATTGTCCTACAACACAAGGTCTTGTATATTACTTAAATACTCCTTTACTAGAAAAAAAATTGTGTGTGTATGTGTGACATTTTTTGTTTTCGAAGGCCTTCATTATTCAGCTCTGACAAAAATAAAAATTGAGAGACTCGATCTTGCAATTTGACATCGTCGGATTATAAAATTTATATTCCAATAAGATGAATAAACTTGATACAAAGTTGATGACATATTGAAATATTTCAAGCTAACCTAGACACGCTTCCTAAACTCATAGAACCCAAAATAACGTTTTTTAAGAGGACGAATTTCTCTCTCTTCTTACAAACCTACGTACAATTAAAGTGTACAAGTTCAAAAAATACGCTTGTCTGCCAGTGCGTGTGTAAAAATGTGAATCGTAAGAGCAAGTTTTGTTTTCCTTCTCCCACTGACAGAATCTGCGCTCACACAACTAAAGACACGTCAAGCTCGTAGCGGACAGCGGACTGCGCGATTGTGAAGATTACGAATCCAAGAATTGGAACTCGACCAATCGCGTACATTTACATCTTAAAAAAATAGGAGCTAACCTGACCTAATGGTCACGTTTGAACAATAATCGTACGATTAATTATCGAACGTGATTCACGCGTGATTGTATATAAGTGTACGAGTCAGCTTCAAGTGCTATTAAGGCGTCGACAATTTGACGTTTCATCATTCATGTCGAATGTATGGTCCTATGCCTTTCAGAATCGTTGTTTGCATGATTTACACGTGTCCGCCGAGTGCTCATCTGTTGTCGAAGGGTTTTTTCATTGTTTCGCGTGAATCGACGTTGTCGGTTTCGAAAATAATAATGGTGTATATTGATCAAACCAAGTCCCTCCCCAATGACTAATGAAGGTAATATTTACAGGTGCGCGTCCGGTGGGACGACAGTCTCACGGCGACATCAGTACTAGAAGCAGCTCCCAATCCCATTATCACGGAAGACAGCTATCCGTTTCTATAAAGTTCGCCGAAGATAAATCGCAACTTGAACATGGTAATTAGTTTGATCTTGATCCAATAAACTTTTATCGCATTCCTTTTTAATTCTATATGTAAATTGCTAGCAATTTTGTCTAGCTTTCTAAAATATTAAAAAATTACCTTTTACTTCGATACTTTGAAAAATTATACAAGCTAAACGATGGTGTTACACTTATATGTATGTACATTCGTTTATTTCGAGGTAAAGCTTTCGTGACACAATCCTGTTTTTCTTTCCCAGGCATCTACATCCAAGAAACAAAGCGGTGCCAAGAAGTATCCAATAAAACTTGTATTAACCGAGCAACAGAAGTCCGATATAAAAGAAGCCTTTGATCTGTTTGATCCGGACGGCACTGGGAAAATCGCTTCCAAGGATCTTAAAATTGTCCTCAGAGCCCTAGGATTTGAGCCGACAGTTAAAGAGATACAGACCCTCGTGGCGGAAGTTGCTCCAGAACGCCCTACTGAGTTATCTTATGAAGAATTCGTGAAGGTAATGTCAATTAAAATGACAGACGAGGATGTCCAAAGCGATATAATAAGGGCGTTTCGTCTCTTCGATGACGATAAAACGGGGAAAATATCGTTCAAAAATTTGAAAAGAGTTGCGATTGAATTGGGAGAAAATTTGAGCGATGAGGAACTATTTGATATGATTACTCAGGTAGACGAAGATGGCGATGGACAAATATCGCTAGAGGAATTTATAAAACTCTTTAAGAGTATGTCGTGTTCATAAACTGTAATGTTCGTAACTTAAACTTTGTATTAAGTTAAATTTACGTTAATTTATTTCTGTGTCAAACGTTGTGAATATTGTATTTTTATATTCTGAGACTGATATTTTAGCACAATTATCTTTTGATACGTTTGATATAGTTCGTATTTGTGTATGTTAACGTTTCATGTTAACGATGTGCAAAAATAAATAGCATTGTTCTATCACTAACATTTGATTCATTTTTTTTTTATTGCACTTTCTTGCGTATATTCAACTTATCTTTCGACTTCTTTTCCTACGCAAATGAATCATGAACAGTTTAATTTCAAATTTATAAAATACAGCTAAGAAAAATAGACTATATAGCTATCGATATCTTATTACATATTCCATTTTATGTGTCTAATGCGTAAAAGGTGTGAATGCCATTTTGCCTTCTTGAAAAAAAATATTCAAGTATTTATTTCTATATCGTTTACATTCAGCGTCGAGATAGCAGCGTCGATTACCGATCTGACCAACTTTGCTCTCATTTTCGCCATTTCCAGTCCTTTGGAAAGTAGATTCTGAGAGATTGAAATTCCACCTATATTAAATTTAAGATCATTATTATACGTGATGTATAACCCAATAAACACTATTTTACAAATATAAAATACACACCAGGCTTATGTACATAGCAAATCTCTTCCTCATCGTCCATCACGATAGAAAACCTTCCTGATGACAAATCCTCCTCGTCATCTGTAGGATCAGCTACTAACAATTGGCTGCAAACAAAGAGTTGAGTTAGGAAAAGATGACGTACATACGAAATATCTATTACAATAAACTAAAACTGACTTCTCGAATACCGCAAACGATGTAGAAACTGGCGACGTTCTTACAGCAAACATTTTTCTATTTTTTGGGTGTACCACAATTACTCCCGTCTCTTTGTTGTAATTTACCTCAGGTAAGGCCACTGCAAGATAAATTCTCTCATGAAATACAGAAGAGGAATTGGACGCGGATATTATCACATGTTCTCGGACAATATGTAGACGGGACTTACATGTTTTGAGAGCCGCAATTAATGCCCCGGTGCAAGCGTCTATGACCGATCCGTTGTAATTTAGGCACAGAATATCGCAGTACAAGACCCATACTAATTTACCTCTGCAGATACAGAGGTCTGTCAGGTCGAGTGCCGCTGAATTACTCAAAATGATATCTATCGATTTAGAGAGCACCTGCGCCTGTTCGCTCGGCGGGCCGGGACGAAACTTTGAGGAGCACAGAGGTGATAATTCCACATTTGGTACTACGTAGCCGTGATCCGGAGTATCTGCCTTTGGTGTTGCTAATTCCTGAAACAGTACACAATACCGATTAATCGTCACTTTAGCACTGAAATAAGTTAATTATATTTTCAGCTAAAATAAAAATAACAAAAATAAAGACAGCTAGGTCATTATAAAATATTGTATAAATTAACAAACAAAATATCAAACCCACATTAAAATACATGTACTTAAAAAGATATGAAAATGGATATAAACATGCATTAGAACATTGTGAGGCGTACTTACAGCTTTAATACCGCAAACCGCAGTTGTGTCACCCAATTTGAATATTGCTGAACTATCCGCTTGTACAATCGACGAGACATTTACGCTTACTGGCCGAAACGACAAGAATTTCCTGCCATCCGTCCGGATGTCTTGCTCCTGCAAGTGCCAAATTGTTATTAGAAAATTTTATAACACGCTTCTTTAGTCGGTATGTAGAAGATACTTACAAGGTGGTCGTGCAAGTATTTCACAGGATGGATTGTTCTGCAAATACAGTAAAGTGGATAACAAAGTACTACTCAAGATGAAATAAATGTTATAAATCTTTCAATTTTATAAGCTAATCATAGATATCTTCTCAGAAGACGCTACTTCTCTTTTATCCATTTTCATAGAGAGAAGATTTTTATCATGCACTTTGCAATTTATTTTAAAAAAAATGGGATACACACTTGTATTGCAAAGCCATCTGTGTTAAAATTTTCAACACTTTGACTTGATTCAACAGCCTCCTCGTTCGACAACTGTAGATCGCGTGCTGGATCTCGATTTAAGAAAAGAGACGGCGTGGTTAATAAAAAATGAAAAAAGGGATGATGTTTACATGCCGAGAACGTGCTTCTTTCCGGCTCGAAACGCATCTAAGGACTGTAAGGACTGAAGCCTTCAGCCTTCAGGAGAGGGGATTTGAGGCTTCGACCATGCACTAATACAGATAGACCAGCCTGACGGCCTGACCAGCAGCTGCTAGGATTAAAGCTTTATGTGATGGAAATTATATACAATCTTTTTAAATGACCTGTCTTGATTATTTTATTTATTTTGAGACATTTGTTATCAATATTCAAATTACGGAATACGTACGCTTTGCGAATAATCGATTCTCGCGACGCTAGTGCGGCCAATAATGTCGCCTGGTGACGCGCGCGACCGTCGCGCTGCCAGCTGCCAGCACTGACGACGTCCGCTCGGCGCTCGCCGCCGGTGTGTAATCGGTGTAATCGGGCGTGAGACTCGACGATATGATCGTTGTGTGGCGGACGAGGATCCGCGTTACGTTAGCATGAGTATCTGAGATCGCAGAGGTTTGCCCTAGTGTCTTTTACTCTCTTTCTCCTCGAGATTTCGCGATCGCGAGATCGCACGCGCGCGCACGAGAGAATGAGCCTCAGCCTGACGAAGCTGTTCTCGAAGAAGAGGAGCGGTCACGCCGTCGACACCGTCGCCGCGGAGATCGGCCCGCCTACCAACGTCTCGCACGAGTTCCACGTGAGCAAGAATGCGGAGACCGGACAGCTGGAGGGCCTGCCGGACCCGTGGATACGCCTGCTCAACACGCAGATCTCCAAGTCGGAGCAGGACGAGCACCCGGACGCCGCGTTGCAGGCCATCAAGTTCTACAACTACTCGATCAAGCGCAAGCCGCAGGACCAGGAGGTATTCAAGCCGTTCGTCACGCAGGACCTGATCGAGGAGGAGTCGCAGGAGATCGACAACATCCTGACGAAGAAGTACCAGTCGGACGGATCCGACGACGATCGCCTGACATCCGAGAGCTCGACGGACGAGCGGACGTCGTTGCCCAAGCTGCCGCCGAAGGTGAACAAGCCGCCAAAACCGCCGAAACCGCCGAAACCACCGAAGCCGCCAAAGCCGGCGCCGCGCAGGTGCCACGACAGGGTGGAGAAGACCCTCACCGAGATCCTCGAGGATCTGAACACGTATCGGATCAGCGACGGTGAGGACTATCCGCCGCGTGAAGAGGAGGAGGAGGAGGAGGAAGAGGAGAACGTTGCGCCGAGTAGAATAGAGGAGAGTCCCATCCTGCGAAGGAAGACCGAGTGCACCGATGTGAGACTCAGTGACGAACAGGTATACGAGGAGCTCCGGGCTATCTGCCAGCGCGGGGATCCCAACTTGCGCTTCGAAAGAACTAAGGAGGTAGGCGCCGGTGCCTCCGGAACTGTGTTCATAGCCACCGATCTTCAATACGGTCAGAAAGTAGCCATTAAGGACATAGACTTGTCGAAGCAGCCAAAGAAAGAGTTGATATTAACAGAGATCAAGATTCTCAAGCAGTTTCAGCATCCAAATCTGGTCAATTTCCTTGACGCTTACCTGGTGGACGAGCATCTTTGGGTGGTGATGGAGCTGCTGGAGGGCGGGCCACTCACCGACGTGGTTACCGAGACTGTGATGAAGGAGATCCAGATTGCTGCCGTCTGCAGAGAGGTCCTCAAAGCGATAAGCTTCCTGCACACCAGGGGCATCATTCACCGGGACATCAAGTCGGACAATGTGCTGTTGGGGATGAACGGTACGGTGAAGGTTACGGACTTTGGTTTTTGCGCGAATATCGACGGTGACGAGAAACGACAGACTATGGTCGGTACTCCGTACTGGATGGCGCCGGAAGTGGTAACGAGAAAACAGTACGGCAAGAAAGTGGACATCTGGTCGCTAGGTATAATGGCCATCGAGATGATAGAGGGAGAGCCGCCTTACATGAAGGAAACACCGTTGAGAGCGTTATACTTGATCGCTGCCATTGGTAAACCATCCATTCCGAGGTGGGACAGCCTCAGTCCGACGTTCCAGAACTTCTTAGAGAGATGCCTCGCCGTAGAAGTCGACGAGAGAGCGACCGCCGACGAGTTGCTCTCTCATCCATTCCTGGAAAACTGTGCGGAATTATCTACTCTCACCCCGTTGATCCGTGCGGCGCAGAGAATTCTCCACAAAGTGTTTCACTAAATACTTTTTAAAACAATTTTATACCGTAACATTCATGATACGCCGGTTTCACGACACTTCATTGCTGCTTAGGGATGAAAAGAAGATACTTCTGTAATTGAAAGCATCAAAAGAATTTCGTAATTATTACTGCGTATACACACATTCGATTTTAATATCTTAAACTTATTATTTGACTGCCCTCCGTCTTTATTCCACTATGCTGGTTTACATATGTACGAAACCAAAGCATAGTAATGACGCTTGATAGTCATTTTAAGATTTTATTCAAATCGTTGTTGAAAAAGAACCTAAATAGTTATTTTTATGCTACTTAATTATGTCAGGATTATTATTATTGCAAGATGGTATCGTGTAGAAATTATTGGTGGAAATATTCAAGCAAATTTGTCAACTTTTAAAAGAAGCTATCTACTCTGTTACGTGCAATATGATCAATTAGGATTTTACTCAGGTATATTTCCGCTCAATGACTATGTAGATGGGCATTTTGCCAACTCAAGTTCAGTATTTACCGGAACAATAAAGTTTTAGCTGTAAATAATTGTGGACAGAATACATTTTTATATGCTGTTTTTGAAGAATGAGTGGAATACATACAATATTTTGAAATATTGTTCTTTTAATACCAGTTATAAAACGATCATAATGCAGAATTTCATAATTATTCTTCTTAAAAACTGTACTTAGATCACTGTACAGAAGCATCAAGATACAAGAAAGACAATAGCGGAATCAAGTATATAATCTCTGATAACAATGAGAGCCCATCAAATTTGAAGCTCTTAACTCTTTCCAAGAAAACTGGATAAGGCACATGATAATATAAATAATAAGATAAGTTATTTGACTATCTAAGTTTTTTGAATTTATAACTTACAAGCTTTTTGACTTTATAACTTTTAACTTACAAGTTATTTGAATTCATAAAAAAAATTACACGTTGAAAAATTGTTATTAATCAGGTATGAAATATATTCAAAAAATTGTATTTTGTGCATAAAATTGAGTAACACTGTTCGCTATCGTAAAGCAATATGTTGAAACGTAATTGTTGCGAATTATATAACCACCGTACAATGCATTTTTATCAAATCACCAAGATGCACACGAACACACGGTTTTGTAAGACTTTTATTCCTACTTTTATAAAACGTATACCTTTTTGGAAACTTTTTGTATTTCCTAAGAGCGCGATATTGCTCAAACATAATATTCGTATAGGTATATTTTTTAAATAACCGATATACTATATGTATATAAACTGATATGATCAATAGTGTTTATAATGCGATGAATAAATGCGTGTAATACGATTAAATTACTGTAAAAAATGAATATCTAGATATTTAAGATAATTCTAGCAAGTAATATCAAGTATATATATATATAAAATCACGACTGTGATAAATGAAAGTTATATTAATATTTCTATAGAATATAATTTATGTGTTTTACCATACATATTATACTATATTAAATTACTGGAAACATCAAAAGTTGTGACAATAGCTCGAAGTATATAATTATTATATATTATAAGCAGGACAAGTGTTATGTTTCAATCAGATAACATATTAACATATGTGCCGATAAACAAATGTATTTAAACAGTATTGTAATCGTTTGCACGATTTGAAACAAAAAATGCATTATTATTTGTATATTCTATTAATTTTTTGTTAAGATATATTCAAAGAGTTTTCGAAAAAATCATTAAAATTAAAAAAAATGCGTAAGACGTATATCGTATGATATTCTAATAGTTGTGCCTCATAAAATAAATGTATAAGATTCTAATTATAATAATAATTAATAATAGGCACAAAAATATTATCATGCAATAATCACGTGTGAAATTATGATTATAGTGAAAATCAGATGTGAGATTCTGTAATGTGACTTCGAGAATTATATGTATTATTTTTTTTCTGTATATTTAGATTGGATAGAGGAGAAAAATGGACACTAATACATCCGTAAGACATCACGTATTTTAGACAATAAATATTTTATTCAGAAGATAAATTCTTCATTAAAACTATATCCCAATAATCCTATTTAAATTATAAGATTATATACAAGTGAGTCATTTATTTATACATTTCCAATTAATAAATTAATCGGAAGTAAACCGTGTGTTTTATTGCACGAGTTTCTAAATATGCAAAAATTACTATCTTTAAATATTTATAGTAATATGATACAATGAAGACATATACGTCGTAACTTTGACTCAGAAGATCATGTATACATCGTGTATATGGTTCCTATATCGCAGGGCCAATAATTTGCAGATATTTACAAAAGTAGACTAAATATGAACGTTCTAATTATTTACAAAATTAAATACAATAATGGACACTTACTCTCTGTCAATCTTTTTGTGGATATTAACCCCTAATTAAAATTTTTTTTTAATAATTTAAAAATTATATTGAAATTAAAGAATCTATTGAGAATCATAAATTAACGTTTAACATTTGGTTTCACTCAATGTTATCATTAATTAATTTACGAAAGTGAGAATATGTCCATAATATTGCTTGTTTTAAATATCATTTTGGCAGTATGAACATATAAACTATTTCCTTTGGTCAAAGTTTTTAATAACGAACGGCGTTATTTGTAAAACGTTTTCATATAAATATATAAGTCGTACTTTCTATATTTGCTTACATATGGCACGAAAAATAGGACTAATATTAATCAATTCTTCCGTTTATTACAAAAACAGCCAAACAACAATCATGCATTTATATTGCATTATATACAATTATATTGGTTAATATTGAGCATTTTTCTACTTAAATTCTATTTTTTAAAAAGCATAGTAATATAGTTACAAAAACAATGATATTTAACTCTCTTGACGCAAGAAAACGAGCTGTTTTTGCAATAAACGCTTTGAACGAGATGAATATTCTATTACGGGCGATTAATACGCATCGCGTTTGTACCTCAGTGCCTGCATTCTGCCAGCTGCGAGAAAAGCTGGATCCTCCAGCATTGCTCTTAGAATAGCCAAGAATTCGGCTGCTTGATCCTCGTCGATCGCTCGTCTGTCGTACGATAGCGTTGTCGTCATTTTGGTTACTTTCATTAACGAGGAATCTGCAAGACGTTACAAAAGTACTATTAGTTACAGTCAGAAATCAGTTTGGGATCATTTACAAAATCTTTCACAAAATATTACCCAGCTCTTCTCGTCCCGAACCTACAGCTAGTACGGCAGTTTGTGGAGGATTTATAATGGCAGAAAACTTCTTGATACCAAACATTCCCAAATTCGAAATTCTGCATAATAAAATTGCATATGTACGCTGTACAGTCGTGGACTGAAAGGTTGTCCGGTTTATACGCGCGCGCGCGTACATACTTTTCAGTTATGAAGACTTACGTGAACGTTCCGCCTTGAAACTCGTGTGGTTTAAGCTTCCCATTTTTCGCCTTTTCAGCCAATTCTCGAATATTTTTAGAAATATCTGATAGGCTCTTAGTAGCAGTGTCGAATACTATTGGAGTAATCAGACCTGTTTTTGTCGCGACTGCCACAGACACATCCACCTTTGGAACTCGAACGATCTAACGCCAGTCGATTGTTAATATTATAATTGAATCGCGTATCCTAACGCAATTATATCATAATATTAAAACTAAACATACTAACCTGTCCATTTTGATACAACGTGTTTATATCAGGACACTCGACGAGCGCGTGAGCGACGGCCTTGACGACAAAGTCGTTAATTGATACACTTATAGCCTCCGTTTTTAGCTTTCCGCGGAGCTCCACTAACTTGCCGATATTTATATCCACAACTGCGTAAGAATGTGGTATAGTTCTCTGAGAAAGAAAAATCATTTTAATTAAATTAAACAAATAATAAAAAATCTGTCGTAACGTACCTTTGACTCTCCGAGTCGTTTGGCGATAACGGCACGAATGTTGGATACTTCGATGTCTTCGTATGGAGACGGTCGGCCAACTGGGACAGATGTTTCTTCTGGACTGGGAGAACGTGCCTTAACAGTCCCTGGAGCCGGTGCTGCAAAGAGATAATCGTTAAATAAATATATTAAATATTACACAGAGCTACCCTAGGCGAGACAATATTATTATAGTATATCGCATTTACCGGATTTAGGCGTAACTTTTTGAACGTTGTGCGCCTGAATATACGCCAGAACGTCGCTTTTCAATAAACGGTTTGGCCGTCCAGTGCCCTTGATTGACCCAGAGCTCAGATTATATTCCTCCAGCAATCTTTTCACTGCCAAACCATACACTCTATGCGGAACATATTTAATATTTAATGGAATACGTTCATTTAGAAATAATGAATAATTATATAAATTATTAAAAAGATGAATACACACTGCCCACTTGATGGCGGTTTGGCATCAGCTGGTGCAGCCGGTTGAGCAGAACTCGGTGCTGCAGATGGTGCTGGTTTAGCTGACGTCGGGGCAACAGCCTGTTTCCAATCCATTCCTTTCTCAACTATAACAGCTATCAACTGTCCCACTTCTACTTGAGAACCTTCTGGAACCTAATAAATGACAATATTAAGCTAAGGAAGAACGTAATTTGCCCCATGCAGAATTTTGTCGTTAATAATTAAATACGTACAAGAATTTTTGCGAGTACGCCTTCCTCATCCATTTCGAAGCTCATGACGGCTTTATCCGTCTGTATGTCGGCCAACGAGTCACCCGGCTCTATTTCATCACCTTCTTTCTTCAGCCACTTCATGATCGTACCTGTTGTCATGGTTGGCGATAGGGCAGGCATAGCAATGTTTTGCCTGGAAATTAGATGAATTATTTGAAAACTGTTTCTGAAAACGTGGCTTTCCAAGCGTGTGAATACATAAGCATCATTTTCGCTTTATTTGTATTACTTTAAAGCAAAGTATGACCTAATGTGCTTATTAAAGGATCGTACTGGCCGGGTGGTGGTTCCGCTGACGTGACAGGAGGGCTTGGCTCAGCGGAGGACGGTGCTGCTGAAGAAGCTTGTGCCGAAGAACTGTCTGGCATTTCTACTGTTTTCCAGTCTTCATCAGCCTCAACAGTGAGAGCTATCAGAGTTCCTACTTTAATATCTTTTGTTCCTTCAGGTACCTAATCAATAATATATCTCTCATATAATTTGTACGTAATACATAGATACGATTTGATTGATTTGTTCGCTACATTTATCTACTTACAATTATCTTTGCCATCACACCTTCGTCGTCAAATTCCATCGTGACAACGGCTTTGTCAGTCTGAATATCCGCAATAGCGTCACCGGGAGAGATCGTGTCGCCTTCCTTCTTGAACCACTTCACTATGGTGCCGCTTTCCATGGTGGGCGATAAAGACGGCATCAACAATTCCTTTCCCGTCACTGAAAGCAAATCGTCACCTCATTTAACATCCTTCGCTTCATGGAATTAAAAGCTCAAATGGTACTATCATAAATTTGCAATAAATTTAAATATTGCAATCAAGTAAACTGTTTCAAGACGAACATTTTCTTTCCTGCGAAATAAGATTTAAGGAAATTGCCGGGAAAGGAAACGAATATATACTGAAAAATATGTTGACCGACAGGTAACACGTGAAAATGAAAAAATCGGTTGCATAACCAGAAGGACACGGAAACTCGTTTATCGAGCGCAACAAAAGGCTAAATTTACGTTCCAGGATCTTTAAGTTCGTTTTTCACGCTTCCGTTTAACATTCGCATCGAGATAGCTTCGTCTCTCGCGGATATTTCCATCGAAATTTGGTTCTTCTCCGAGAGAGGGTAACCTCCAAATCGACGGACGTCGCGAGGGAAAGAAATCGCGGTTTTTGAATAAATGTCGTACCGTCGAGGATACTGCTGGTGCGAAAGCATAATCGTTGACACTTTAAGGGCACGGGGATACGCGGCGCGACGTGATTAGTGTACTTTAGTGACAGGAGCACGAGCCTGGACCTTATCATGTGCGCCATTTTTCACGTCAGGCCACCAAGTGTCCGAAGGTCCGAAGTGTCGTGATCGTCGTGATGTTGGATGCTGCCTGCGACCGTGACCGGCGTGTGACCTCAAACCGATTGACCTTTTGTTCATCAGTGTCGAATCAATTGGCTGGTCCCAATACTATCCACTATCAATTAAGTCTTTATCTCGGCCTCCACATAATTCACTCGCAGTTCTTTTTCTCTTTCCAGCGGTTCTCTCGCTCAATTTTTATCTCGCTGGAAGAGAACGTTCAAGTTAAAATCTGACTCAAAAATTCTTAGTATCTAAATTTGTTGCAAGCTTACTGCAGTGAAATAATTTCAAAGTTTCAATCGTCGAGAGGAAGATTATAATAAATGAATTAAAAAACGTCAATCTAATTGAAACAACTAATTCGATATGTATTTTATCTTAGGTGTTTAACAGAAATATCTTATCAATCTTCAAGCTAGATAGATTGATTATTTAAATCTATATTGTTACTTGACTAATTAAATTTTGGATTACGAGGAGGATAAAAAACGACTCCGCCGCTTTTGCTCGCCGTACGATTTTTATTTCATTCGTTATAACAATAACAGTTGTTCTGTCCCGTGGTAGTTCGCATAGTGTGTGTCTCGCCTATTATAATAATATTTCGCGACGTATCCCTCGCATTCCGTGGACGTCGCGTCGTTTATTCGAATTACGAATTACGAGACCGGAGAGTGACCGGACTTGGCGCGCGCGGCGTTTGAGTTTGGCGGCGATCGTCGAAGCGCGTATCGCGATTGTCGATACTATCGACGAGCGCGCGCCTGCGATTCTCGAAGTTGACACCGGGATGAATCGGTTGACGGCAGGCGAACTTTCGCAAGTGGTAGCCCGGTGTCCCTCCGAATTCGCCGACCGGGCGGCCGTGCCGTTTGCATCGTGCGCGATTATGTACAGAATAAACGTCGTGAGTACAGTGCCTATACAGTGACGCGCGGGGTGTATACGTGTGTGCGCGCGCGGATTACATCGTTATAAAAAACTTATTACTAAGAGCTCCGGGAGTTAGTGGGAGTGTGTGTCTCAAGTTGGAGAACGCGTAAGGGAGCCCGGTTACGAATCGCCCCTCCAGCATCCGGGTGGAATCTCGCGGTCGCCGAGCCCGAGGGTGAGTCTATAATTTCCAAGATTATTCCAAATTCTACGTTGGCTCTCAAATAGATTCTGCCGGCCGACACGGTTCTTTTTGGAGCAGTAAAATATATATACATTGAAATTATATATAATTTTTCAATATGCATCTAATATCATAATATAAATATATATACTGATAAATATATTATAATGTTATTTACATATATATTACAATATTATTTACACAGTATATATATAATATATGTTTCTTGTGTAAATAATATTATATATCATATGTATACTGAATATGAATTTCAAATAGACTCTGCCGACCAATCATGATTCATTTTAGACCAATAAAATATATATACATAAAAATTATATGTAATTTTTCGATATATATAACATTTTAATGTATACTGAATATGAATTTTATATATGTATGTATTTATAAGACTGTGTCCAAAATTGCACCTCGACGCCGGAGGGATACAGCAACAATACCGAATAACGAAATTAATATCTCGATATTGAGCTCGACTTGAAGTATCGACAAAATTCAAGCCGAACGAAATTTAACGTAAGATATTCATCGCTATACGATCGTTTCCTCGCGCTTTTATAATAACGTTCCAGCGATCGCTACGGCGATTCTTTTAATTGACGATCGTTCAATCGCTCGTGATAGGAATTTGGCACTCTTCCCTCATGACCGTGTGTGTGTGTGAGACAACTGCTCTAAACATTAAAACGCCATACTACAATGGCCCGTGAAAAATCGTGTAGGTATATAACGCTAATATCAACGGGCGCTTCAGAAGCGTATGTATCGTGCGCACCTTACAATCTATAGTTTTACACGGTATAATCCTCGCGAACTCGCTCTCGCCAAGTTCGACGAACGAAATCGTGCAGGCTCGATCATTTTAGCGCAAGTATTTTTCGTAAAACAACCGTAAAACACTTTTCTCCTCCGATCTCGACGCGTTGCACAACCGTATGTCGCGTTTTGTCCTCGTTAAAATGACGAGCCTGCCGTGCCGAATAAAATCTAAATATGGTACCACCTCGCTCGGATTTCGGTAAGGGGTCGCGGCAAGTTTCGCGTCGCTCGCCTGTGGGTCGACGTATATAAAAGTTCGCCTCGCTCGAAAATGATTGTATACGTAAAACGGGATAAAGGTACGTAACGGTATATATCCAAATCAGTTTCTCAGTCGGGAGGTTTCGCAGTCTCCTGTGCTTGTATACAAATACGCGTACGATTTGAAAACTTTCGAAAAAAGAACTCGTCGAAGAGACGCGGTAAAAGGTTCTTCCAAAGCCCCGGATTATTATCGCCCGGTAGCGCGCGTTCGTCGCGCGGACGAGGTTCGGCCGGTCCGCCGGGATTTTCAACGCTCGCTGGACGCCAGGGTTAGTAAAAAATGACGATAAGTCTCGCGATAACGTGCGATTTAATTGGAAAAAGATGAGCTCGCGGTCCTGACGAACGTTCGTTCACGAATTCCTTTCTATCGCGCAGCCTCGCGCCGCTTGCGCTTCCCTCACACGCTTCTTCGTGTGTACCTTGCGTACGTTACGAGCTCCTATCAAGTTAACAAATAATGAACAGCTACTTATTATCATGTTATTTAGTCGATGATTATGTACAATGCAATCGGTGCGCGAGAATAAAAAGCACTCTTTCTCAGTACTTCGCGCGAATTTCCGCGCGTTTCTTAACTAGTCGTCGGGGGGAAAAAAGTTTCTCCCGTTCTTCTCTTCCTTGTTGTCCTTTCTCGTTCTTCGTATTGGCAGTAGTTTTTGTGCTTCTGTTTGTGCCTCTGGGATGACGCTTAGGAGTAGAAGTTCTCTCGCTGCTGATAAAGTGGTAAAGGAGCCACGGGCGAGAGGTCCTCGTCGTCTAAGCTCGACTCAGTTTTCAGAGGAAGCGTCGCTAGAGCTTTCACTGCGATAAAGCAATCGTAGATTAGAAATTAATTAATTATATTAATGTAAATATTAATATAATAAAAATATAATATATAATAATAAATACAATATTAATTAATAATATTGCAAATCAATACGTTTATTGAAAGTGAGAGATCTCATTATCTTCTTTTACTATTTAATATATTTTTATTTCTTACCATTTTTGTCTCGACTATCCCTATTATTTGTCGTTTGCGATAGTTATCCTATTTCAATAAACGTATGTCGACAGAAGTAATGCGATTGCATCTGCTTAGCTTGATCGGAGGGGAAAAATATAGCAGAAAGAAAGACGAAAAAAAAGATGAAAAAACAAACCTGAAAATGATAATGTGACGTGCGTGTCCTATAGGGAGGGATGGAGTAAGCATGTCGATCAGTGTGCCTGGTTACCTACACACAAGCACAAAACAATCCAAACAACAATCCAAATTCCCTAAAGACGAAACTAATATTCGCCGTCTTGAAAACAAAAGCCGTTAATAAAATCGTAAAAAAGTAGCATGTATAACTAATGCATGCGTGTTCGCATTTGTGAAAAGATTACGCGAACGAAATATGCGCAATATAAACTATAAATCCGCTCAAATCGAATGAACGTTGAAACGTTAGAACGTCGCCTCTGTAAGCGGTAAGAGAAATAAAAATCGTACTAGTGATATCGAGAACTAATCGTTGCATCGAACGTGGTAGAAAAAAATTCGTTTTTTTTTGCTTTCTAGAAGCTAAACGAAAACGAGCATGCTGCCATAGCTGTTACGTATAAACGATTACAAATCATGCATCGTGTTTGAAATATATTATCGACACGTACCCGCTACCATCTTACTTTTCTCCATCACTTGCTTCGCCAATATCTGATTAAGCTGAAGAATGTGTTCCCTCTGTCGCTTTTCTTCCACTACCTTGCGCTTCAAGGTGTCTGATTTTTCTACGTTAGAATCATCGTCTGAAATCACATGCATATTTATAAAAAATATTCTTGTTATAACCATTATCGTATACACAGAAAATTGTTAAGTTGAGAGGAAGGGGAAATATATGTCGCGTACCACCTCCTTCCGGCGCGGTCACGGTTGTTTCCGAAAGCATTTTCCTAATCGCTTCCGCCTTCTTTAAACGTTGCTCCTGTTCTTCCGCTGTTAGCTCCGGCGTCTGAAAAATTAAAAACATAGATATAACACAGAGCTTAATTTAATTTAATTTAATTCATACACTCATGTCGCAGAAGAATTATATAAATAATATAATTAAATATTATCTCGTAATATAAATTCTCAACAATGTAGTCTTCCGATTTTTAGTTGTCACGTCAAAAGTACGGACTAAATTGATTTTTGTAAAATTTAAAGAGATTAACGAATACAAGTTGCAAGTACCTGTTCAGGAATATATCGCTCGGGAATGACAATCTTATTAGGCGTGCCTAACAGCTGATCTATGGTGCTCTCGTTATATTTCAACTCCTTGTGACTCAACGTCGATCGCACCACATCCGGGGCGTTTATCCTGGGTCTGAGCGCTCTTTCCATGTCCAGATCGTCCCTGGCTCTACCCATACCCTAGAAATTGTCAAAGAACCCGTAACGTATGAGCGTAAGATCAGAGTTTTTTTTTCTGCCACGACGGGCAATAGAACGGCACAGCGAAGCGATGAGTCGAAAGCGAGTGTGACAGGAAGTAGACAAGGTGAGACACAGATAGATGAAAACAGGGGAGTGAGAGAAAGAGAACAGAAGTTAAAATGTTAAACAAAAAATACCATCTTCGAGAAAGTGTCCTCTAGATCGAGCACCGGTTTGCTACTAGACACAGTGTAATGCCGCCTCTTTTCGCGAGGTATTTGCCTTCGTCTCGGTCCCTCCACCCTCTTCTCCGTCATCTCTTTGATAATCTGTTTGGCAGCCTCGCTCTTGAATACCGGCGACAATTGCGGCGATTCGGACTGGTTTGCGTTCGTCGTCGTCGCGGCGGCGGCGGCGGCGGCGGCGGCCGGTCTCTCATGAATGCCGACGTTAGCCGGCGACGTTAATTCGGGGCTCATGGCACCCGCGAGAGTGCCGATTTTCTCGTATTGCCTGTACGGTCCGAGCGAGTAGTTGTGATAGTGAGGCTGCGCGGCGACCGTCGCCGCTTGCGACGGATAATTCTGGCTCTGGCACGGGCTGTACGACGAGGCGGTGGAGTAGTTGGGCGAGCTCATCGGCACGTGAGAGCTGGACGTAGGGCTATCCGTGTACGGTGACAGAGTGCTATCGGAGCTGCCGTCGTGACTTTCGAACTGCGATGGAGCGTCAAAAAAAAATTGTCAAACGCCGGGATCGAGTGGGATTAACAAAAAAAAGAAAAACGGGCGGGCGAGACGAGCGGCTGGATGCTCGGCATTGCTCGGGGTGTAGAATAAAAATCATCGATAATACTCGCAAAAAAATACATGTATATGCCAACGAACATGGAGAAGTGAGGTTTTGCTGTATCTCTGGGTGCTCTGGAACTGCCGCGTTGTTCTTTATCGAAAGTTATTGCTGGAACTTACCCTGATCTTATGCCGACGCGCCATCATGCTCTTCAGGGCGTGCATGCTGTCGCTTCGCGGCGGAGGCACCACGGGTCCGTAGGGTACTCCGGAGTGCTGCTTCTGCCCGCCGAAACCACGTGGCAGAGACATGCTTCTTTGGAACTGAACGTCATCCAGTTCGGACAGCTGAACCGTGCTCTGCGCGTGAACGATCGGCGATTCCTCCACCACTCTGCCAAGCTGAGCTTTCTAAATGTTGAAAGATCGTTTAGCATAATGTCTTTTTTTATTTATTTCTGTTTAATTGAGAAGAGATTTGAAAGACCGCGTGTAATTGAGGACAGAGCGATCTTACTTCGAATTTTTGGGAGCCTCCGAGATCATCGTCGCACAGTCTCTTCGCGCCGCCCGGCGCTTGAAGGCCGTTCGTCAGGGGAATTCCGAGATTGCCAGTTCTATCGCCGCGATCCCTCTGTCGCCTTTCCGATTCGCGTTTCACTATGCGCACCGTCTTAATCTCCTGCTTCTCGCGACTGTGCATTAATCCTGCGAAGGCACGGAGAGAATGAGATTTCCAACGTATACGTCGGGCTTAAAATTGTTTCCGCGAACGAGCGACTTACCGGCGAATTTGTTATCCTCGTTTTGTCTATAATTATCGTTGAGTAACAATGCTTCCTCGCTCAAGGGTGGCGGCGGCGGTGGGATATATTCCGGAGCAGGATTCGGTGCGCCATTCAACACGTTTCCGTTATGCTTGCTCGTGTCGGCGACATAATCGCCTTGCGTTAAAAGTACAGATCGATATCAGAATTATCTTATAATCGCGCTAATCGCTATTAATAATGCTATTTATATAAATGAACGTGAATAAATCTGTTAATATCAATATGATAGGATAAATTCTCATATAATCCAACAAGAATATTACCTGCTGCTCTCGAATCCGTATTAACGTACAGAGGCGCCACTTGAATCGCGCTACCTTTGCCCTGCATTTGATCCTTTAATAATTGTTGCTTTAATTGGTGCTGTTGAATCTGCTCGCGCAGCTGCGGCGAGAGCGCCGATATGTGATTTTGTGAGGGCTGCACGACGGATTGCTGATTATGTAGGCGATTCAACGGGGATAGGTCCTTGTACTGCGTAGGAGAGCCGTATCGCTGATGAGAGCTGTCGTTTTGCCTGTTCGGTGGTGAGATAGACAGAGACGTGCTCGACGGTGAGTCCAAACCGTGGTCCAGAGTTATTCCGGAATCTAAGTCGGTCTCCAGCCAGGAGTTTTGCGTACGTTTCTTCGAATGATGTACCTGAGGAGCTGAGGGGAAAATTGCATCTTTCAAGCACGTCTCTTTCTTTTCATGAAAAATATACATTGCAATTAGTAGTTGATAAATAATTAACTGTCAATATAACATACTCCTTTATTTGCAATATATATTTGTGTAAATGTAAGGATAAGCACTGTGCATTTATTATTGATTAAAACAATTTTTTTGGACATAAATTTATTTAGATAAAGTAATAATAAAACTTGATTGGTAATGAGACTTTATTACACCATGAATTTTGCAGCCTTTGAATAAGTTTGTAGTCCTTGAGTCAGTCTTGTCTGTCGAGTTTTGAAATTTTCAATGGCGGTCGTGTTTCGACACCTTATATTGTTAGACTCACCGTGCGGTGGCTGCGGGCGAATTTGCTGCACTAAACTATGAGATTTCTCCGTCAGTTGGCGAACTTGAATGCTCAGTTCCTTCCTCTGTCTCTGTAGGTCGCCGACGAGTTGTTGCACTCGTCGTAATTCCGCTTCCAGCGGTGCGGTCGTGCTCGAGGTGTCCCTCGCGATGTTACCGGCGTATCTTCTGGACGCTTGCACCTTTTGCCTCAGTACCACCAAATCTTGCTCCAACCTCGCGTTCTCGGCCACTGTTTCCTCAAGTTTCTGAAAGCACGCGAGAGAATCGCGCCGGGCTATCAGGCACAAGAACGCGCGACTTTGAACGACAGTTGACCGTCGTGCAACGAGAATGGCAAACTAAACGGCGAACGACGGAACTGAAAGGTATAATGTTGTGAATAATGCAATTTACCTGGAAGAATACCGGTTTTACCTGGAAACAGTGAATCGAGACTTTAATTGCGATACGTAATGCGATCTGCTCTCGTCATTTAAATTTTCTCTTTCTCTCTATCGTGCTATTATCTTCTCGTGTCATTATTATTCTCGTAATATCGCAAATTCCGGTTGCAAAGGATAAAGAGAATAACAGAAGACAAACTTAATAAAAGCACGCTAAAACGCGATGAAACGGACGTGCATTTCAATCAAATGTTCGTCAATAAACGAGTAACTCTGTTAAATCGCGTCAAAAAATCTGTTATTAACAGAAACATCAGCAATAATGAAGCCCGCTTGCATATTCAATACGTTTCGCGACGTTAAAAAAAACGTACGAAGAATAACGAGCAGCAATTACTCGCATTTTGAAATCCGGATTGACGCACAGATTACTTGTTTTTTCTGCCAATCAATTCGCATCGTTCGTAATAATGGATTCGCGGACTCGGGGTCGATCGGGACGCGGGAGGGGGCCGGAGAGACGCGTATCAACATTTTCGAAATTATCTACCTTCGAGTTATGAGCGAGCAGTATCCTCACTCGGCTCAGCTCGCGCTCCAATAGGAGTTGCTGCTTCCGATATCGCTCCGCTTCGGCCAAATTGCTTCTGCTACCTTGCAGTTTGTGCCGCAACCCGCCCAAAGCCTTCTCGAGTATTTCCTGCGAGCATTAAGTCGACCAGGCGTGTAACGTGATACAGTAGATTTCTGTATCTTGGGATTAAAGACAACTGCTTGTCATTTCGAGGTTTATTGTTATAACGTCGTTTTAGTTCCAAGCAAATAACGGCATCGGCTCGCCCCTCTAAGCTGTCGATAAATATCGTATCGAAATGTCTTCGCGGGATAACGGAACTTTTCAGGCTCGAAGTCAAATTCGATAGAGTATTGCAGAATGCATTTCTCTCCTAAAAGAAAACTTCCGTACATTCGTCAAACTGTCGGGAGGCCGTTACATCAATTGCATTTCTTGAAATGTATTCGAAATTTTTTTAGTAGTTTAAAAGTTCTCTCCTGAGTTATTAACCATTACTATGCTGATACCAACCTTGTCCTGTTGGAGACTATGCAGCGTGCCAGATTCCTCCTGGAGCAGTCGATCGAGTTTGTAGAGCTGCTGTACTTTGGCCTGCAACATAGAAAGGATATCGAGTGAACTATACGAAACCTTGAAATTTCGATATTCAAAGGATAAGCTAGCGTTTCGACTGGAGCAGATCTCGGGAAAAGGGCGAGATTCAGAGATCCGCCGTCATTAACTCTAAAACAATGTTCCAGAACCCCCATTTTCTCGGCAACTCCCTCTATTTCCACAATTTCTGTCCACAATTGAATTTGTTAAAAATATTCATGTCCATGTTGACCAAAGGGACATTTTTCTTTTGACAATTATATTCGATAATATTATTATTTCGACAATATTACATTCGAAAATATCCATTAGTGACACATAATTTTTAATTACTGCAACAGTTATTATATTTTCCTATATAACAATTATTTTAAGCCTCTTTGAAGCCAACGAGATTAATTACATTAAATCAAATATTACTGAAAAATGAGAGAAAAGGGATATTTTTTTCATTTTCTCGTTTTTATTTCTCGTTTGTCACATGGAAATGAAAATGCATTGGACTGCACAAAAGTAGATTAATTTTGTTATTCTAACGGAATACGCTTCTTAATTTCGACCGGTGAACGACGACGTATGTAATTGTCAAAATTCTCGAGGATAACAAGAAAGAAACGAGACGTAAGATACTAAATGGATACTGTCCGTAGAGACTTGACTCGTCTGGAAAGTATATCCTTCCGTAAAGTGAGCTCTCCGCGAAAGAATTTACGACAGGTCGTAAGTGTCGTCCGAGTTCGGTCTCTCTCGTGGTTGTGCCTGCGAGGGTAATTCTTAATTTTTGCACGTATCCTTTTTCCGATCGGACCTTTTTACAACCTGTCTACCGCGGCTACCGCTTAGCTTATAGCACGCGGGAGACCGCAGAAATTACTTTCATTGGTCAAGAAGACTTCGGTGTCTGATGCGCTTCACGCACGGAGTATTACATCGCGAAAAGAATGTAATAATAGGAAACGTAAGAGACAGAAATTAGAACGAATAAAACATACTTTACGGGTGATATCTGACGAGATTGAGAAAGCGAAGAACACTTTTTAATCATCGAGACATTCGTTTATAAAATCGCACATTTTTGTAATTAATGCATTTTTTCGAGACGAAACGTTTCTGACGCTGTAAAAGTAGGAATTACTTGAAAATTGTGTAACCGCAGAAATTTAACGCTAGACTCTTTCGTGGGGCACGATAATTAAAATCACCTGCAACTGTCCGTGATCGGGACTTAGTCTGTCCCAATCCCTGCGCTCCTCGGCCAACAGTCGTTGCTCCTGCACCCTTTGATTAAATTCCAGACGGTCGCGATGATCCCTCGCGTTCTCGTGCATCAGGTCGTGGCGAGAACCGGAAACATTGCTGGTCCCGTTGGCAGTGTTACGATTATACAAAGAACCCAGCTTCACCATATTGTCCACGAGGTTCACAAGAGGCTTGCTCTTCTCGTACTTTTGGGAGGAAAAACAGATGCGATTAAACTTGGAGCACTATTTATACAAATGTGTATTCACACTTAAAAAAGATAGAATTAATTATATTAATACTTTAACTCTATATTGCTAAACATCACCGAGAATCGAAGAATCAAAGCTCTCGGCTACATTTTTAAAAGTCCAAGAAAATTATAATCTTGATTCATTTTTTTTTAACTTTCATTTTGAGCATTAATTTTTCTCGAATTTTCAAAGGGTAGATTATGTCATCATCGCTCTCTTTTTCTCTCTTTTAAGCTATATACTAATTACCAAACCCATCATTTCATATCTATGTGAATAATTTGAGGCAGATACCTCCGCGAGGCGCGCACTTCGCGTAATAAACGTGTCTCACCTGCTTCTCGAGATCCATCAGGTGCCTCTTGAGTTCCTCGAGTTTTTGAAGATTCTCTAGCCGTCTCGGCGTGTCGAGATCCGCCAGTCTAGCCTGCGGGTGCAAACAAAATATACGAAACGTTTATCGCGCTGCGATCAAGGAGTCCCTTTCTCCCTGCTCTCCGTGTGCCGATTTAACGAAAACAAACAACATTCGCGTTTTCGCGCGTTTAAGCGGCACTCGTTAAGCGATACTCCGTGACACACAAGACGGACAATAATGCAACGGACACATATTTGCGTAGAAAGGCGACCCTAAGTTCGACTCGACTTTCTCCTCGAATCTCGCACGTCGCGAGATCGCAGGTGTATATTCATCTACGTCCCACATTTGACGCTGTACGTAAGCTATCTGATAACGTTTTCGATCTGATCGTGTTCTTTTAGATGAGACTCCGACTCGGCGTTAAATATAGGACGTGAAAGAACCAAGCGTGTCGCGCTTGTCTAGCGGTCAACTACACTTTGCGGATCGCGAAGTCCGTAAAGCGCAATTGAATCAATCCGTTATTTGCACGCGAGCGTTACGTCACGTCGTCAACGATGAGAGAAACGAGACGTCGATCGCTCATACTGTATCATCGTCACGTGGAGATTCACAATCTGCGTGCATCTACATTCTACAACAACATCGATCTATCCTAACACATCCTGAAAGATCTCGTCAAACTGCACGGTCGTCTGTCAAAGCGAATTATCTCTCTCTCTTCCTCTCTTTCTCTCTAACATCAAAGCGATCGTTAAAAGCGGCGCTCCTCGAGGGGCGCCTACGACATATCCCCGTCCTCGAGACGGCTCCGGTTTTGCGGCCCCTAACGGGCCCCACACGGCCCACTGCCAACCGTCACCGTCACCGTCATCGTCCGTGGATCATCTAATTACTGTGAAAATTTCGTGAGATCGCGTGTGCAAGCACTCTTCGGACCTGCGCCTCGATCTCCATGTGGCACGTCTCCATCGCCTTGAGGACCGTCGCGTTCTGCCGTCGCAGCTGGATCAGCAGCAGCACCAGTTCCTCGTGGGTCCTGCCGAGGAGCTCGCCGGCGGAAACGCGCACCAGCCCGGACGCGCCAGCCTGCGCCACCAGCCTGCCGCCGGCATCCGCTCTCAGGGAGCTGACGTTACTCTGTCGAGGCATGCAATCGTCTGTTAGCCACACACACGCAAACAACGCGGGGTAATCGAGCTGTGACACACGGGATTGTTAAGTTACGGGGCCGTGAGGATTACTCGAGGGATATCGCGTGAGACGGTTTTTCGCCCGAGATGGAGAAATGAGAGGACGAGGTTCTTATTAGAGAAAGCTATATAAAAGCGACGGATTAATCTCGCAATTATACACGGAGCGCACCGAGTATGCGTACGTGCATGGATTTGCAGTGATTGGCATGGGAGAGAAGAAAACATTATCATCGACAGCACGAATTAAATTATCAACATTTCGCAGCCGCGTTAATTAACACCTGCCTGCAGCGATAGAATGTTATAGCTATTATCTCGAATCATTCGATTCAATGAGATCTTTCAGAATATGCGATAACTTTTGGCTTTAGACCATTGACATATTTTCTTCCTTTTACATATGTCTTTTCTTGCCTGTATGTAGACCAAAATGTGCTGTCACGACAATGTAATGAAAATGTGTGTACGAATATCTAGTTTCGCGGGCCATAACTGATAGTGGAAACTAGCCGCGAAAACAGATTCCACGTGAATTGCGAGAAATATAGAGAATGCGGCGAGCCGCATTGGCCCGAATTAGGTGGCCCGTTTAGCCCGAATCGAAATTTCAGCCGGCGGTTTTACGTCAGTTGTGCCTGCGAGATTGTACGCGAACTTTTTAACTGCTGGAATTTCTCGGCGAGAGCCTAGGCGGGCGCAGAACGGGGATTACCGCTTAGCCGATCTCTCCCCCTCCGTCTGCCATTTTGCATTCGTCGCCGCCGTGTTCCAAAACCGCTACGTTTTAGTGGCTTTTACGGTTGGATTTGTGGTAGCTCGGCAGGCGATGCGAGAGACGGGATACACCCGACCTCGTGTAATACGACGGAAGGCAACGCGACGTAAAATGAAAACGCGATACAAACTACAAACAATTGATGAAATAACAACAGTTATCGAGGAGTAATTTGTTTAATATTTGCGCTGCAAATTGTAAATAAATAATAATAAGTGACACGCTATCAATTTACGAGCAACTGCGTTGCTCATTCAGCTGAGTATTTACCCGCATTTACGTCAAACAACGTGTTAGTGTAACGATATTGTTTCGCGAAAGAGAATCCATTATTTCAGATCGCGTAGAAATATTCTTTTAGCTTCAATTTGCATTGTTTGGGACGAAACTGTCGTCGCGTAAGAATCCGCGATTGAATATTTATTTCTGACCCCTCTTTCTCTTTTACAACTGTCGATTTTTAAAAATAACTGTATAGCTCAGACTCTGGCCGGTGTTTATCCGTAACGTTCTCGTACGGTAATTTTTCGTAGTAAGCTTCGAGCAAATTGGCCGGATGGTCGTATTTCTACGTGTGCGCCATCGCAAGAATTTCTAAAGGTCGTAGAAAAGCGAAGGAAACGGAGGGCTTGCCTCCGTAGTTTTCTATTACTTTCCAATTTTCTAATACCAAGGCACTCTTTGCCGGGAGACAAGCCAGAGGCGGCGTACAAATTCTCATAGACATATCGACACGGACGAACGCAAACAGATACAGGTCACGCCGTGGTTCGATGCACGTAGCGTTGCGGCGAAGAAACGGCCGGGATTCCGTCCGGCGAACGGTGTACGAATGAAATTCGAGGCAATCACCATTGGATCGTGGCTTTCTTCCGTGCAAACGCCCCTTCTTTATTTTAACAGGCAGGTCCCAAAAGATAGCTCCCGTACGCTTCTCGCATTCCGCCGGAATCTTCGCCGATCGCGCGGGAGTATCTCTGCGCGAGGTCGCGCAATCTGTATTCGCGGGGTATACGCGCGCCGAAGCGAGATCGAGCGGGCATTTCCTCGCGAGGAATGGTCGCTCGGCGAATCTTGAATTCTTCGCTATACGTCGAAGTACGTTAACATGACTGCGCGAAGTAGGTATATACGACGAAGCGCATTGCGAAAAGGAAAGGCACGCTCGCGCTTGCTCATCGCATCGCCAAGGACAATTCCTCGTTAAACAAGCCAGCACCGAGTTTTTGCGGAGAGCCAGGGAGTTTTCAATTTGCCGCATTCTTTCGCGACTTAACACCGGTCGATTTTTTATTTTCTCTCTTTCACGTGTAATTATCAATCGCGGTGTTAATAGGTATTTCTTCTTTCATAGTGTCGACATGAAAGCATCCATTTCACTCCCTCGAAAGTGCGTATATACGAACAAACAAAGCGTAGTGTCTTCAAGTTCGTACAGAGAGATCCGTGTTCTCGGAGTCATCTGCTAAATATATCTTTAGAATGTTTAATAAAAAGTCTCTGTGAAGGTCACTTTTGATTCTTCCTAATTTCGAATCTTCAACTCCAAACGAATGTATCGAACGGTTACTTGATCGCACTCCAGAGATAGGAACCTGTTGGCATCTCGGGTTCTCCGTTTAACACGTTACCTGTTTAAGCCCGTGGAAGCTCCTGCGTCTTTTTCGCGGATTGGCCAGGCGAAGGGATGCTTCAGCTCGCAGAAAATCAAGAAGTTTCCACCGCGAAGTTTCCTCGCGTTGGGGCGACGAACAGGACGCGATATGGCGCGCGTCGAGCGACGCTTCGGCGGGCGGACTGGCGTCATGCCCGGTCGGATCGGCTAGCTTGTTCGCCGACCGACCGACCGGCCTGCTGCATAGTGTGCATCGCCGCCTTGCCTGGCTCGCCCGGTGCCCGGCGTTTTGTACCTTTTGCCCCCGAAGGGCCCCGGTCGTCCCTCGACTGCACGCGGGTATGCTCGCCGACAAAAGTTCGGCGCTGCTTCGTCTTCCTCTCGCTTCTGGCTCGTCGCGACTCGCTCATTTCGCGGATGTTTCGACTTCTTTTGTAGTATTAGCCATCAGAACGCGGATTACATGAACCAGATCCACGCGCGGTAACGGACATCTCGCGTGTTCTTCTTGCGGAGAATACTCGCGGTCAAACGTGTTCCTAAGAGGTGTCGGCTTACGCGGGAAGATGATTCGCGGTTTAACGTTATCGTGATGATTCGATCGGTGAAGGGGAAAAAATAATATTTCGCGACTTTTGTTTCTGTAATACGATCGCCAGCGGTCGACGGTAAATTAAAATCCGAGACGCAAATTGAATTTCCGAAAGAATGCTATTTTTTCATTATACCCAAGCTGCTGCTGAAGGTGGGAAGATGAGAAATTAGATATTCGTGCAAAGACGGAAATTTAAGATTTTGACGACCTATTTCGCTCAGCTTCCGATGCGTCTGTATTGCACGCGACGTCTCCACACTACACAAATTCTGACGGCATTTCACGAATTCTACATTGCCTCTGACATATCATGTCAGAGTTATTCCTTTATATATATACGATAAGATTCGTCGTAAGGAGCTCGACGAATTTGTGTGGAAGGATGAATGCCGTGCCGTCATGCGCAGGCGGCGAGATCCATTGTGCACGGAGCTTAAGACCCGTCTGCAGTTCCTTGGCACGGTGCCCTTGCTGACCGGCGCTGACCGTATGCAGGATCGACCCTGGACCCCATGCCTCTCGGTTGTCTCGCTTCTCCCTCGCTCCTTTCGCCTCTCCTTTCCCATTCTTTCCCTCCGGTTCCACTCTCCCCCTTTCGTCCTGGCCCTCTTGCCGCCCTTCACCGCTCCATTGTAATGGCGCCAGGACGACGACACTCGGGTCGTTACTTTCTTGTGCCTTCTCGCGTACCGCGCGCTCGAGATAAGCTCGCGTTAAGAAAACGACGGGCCCCTCATCCGAATACGCCGTTCGCCGCGGCGCCCGGGCGAAAGATCCGTCGAATCAGAGTATTCGCTCTGTTACCGGGAGAGGCCGCGAAATTGTGCCCGAAGAATGCCGTCTAACAGGATTATTTGTAGCGAAAACTTTGTAAACTCCCCGAGCCGCGTTTAGAATTTTACGACGCTTGCATACTGAAGAAGCGACTTGAAAAAGTCAAAGGTAGAGGAGGTACGCTCTCGTATACAACTCCATTAGATTCTTCGCTATTTCAACGTGACCACGCATGGTTGTAAAAGTTTTCCGCTCGGTTCTCGATACTCTTCATTTGTCCCATTCATTTTTGATCGCAGGATCATGACCTACTACGTAATAACGGCGATGATGACCTATTTCGTATTCGCGGATCAATGTGATTGTCCGATCCATAAATTATGAGACTCCATCGACGATAACTTCATCAGAATTGTTTCCGCTTTGTAAAGTCGAAAACGTTGATAAAAATGGTCCGCCTCGCGTTTATTGCGCGCGATATACATCGTATATAGTATCAATTCCGTTCGCATCGCGATGCGGACCGTGTGTGTAATGTTCGAAGGTGCTAGGTCTCTCTCTCTCTCTCTCTCTCTCTCGAGGAAACATTTTAATTAATTGAACTAATGGAATTTACATGCTGCGATGATGATATGCAGGCTACATCGCGTCAATAAAACGGACAACGTGTACGTTTGCGTGGACAAAGACAAAGAGACAGTTATATAGATAAAGCAGCAAAACGACAGACCGTCGATCGTGCAACATCCGCGGGAGAATCTCGCCATTTCGCGTCTGCGGCGTCTGGTAATGCGATCCGCGGCGCGATAACTCGATCCGCCGTATTATAAATCGGGGATTTCCAAAGCTCCTCGCCTTTTTATACGGACGATAAACTCGCGTCGCGAACACGCTACCGTGCGACGCGTATACGTAATTTATTTTTACGAGTCGAAAGATTAGTACACGCTCGTAAACAAACCGCAAGCAATTTGCGAGAATGTAAAGACCTCACCGCGGCGGAACCGAACCGTAACGCCGTCGGATATGTCAGCGATCGGTGGGACTACGTGGCGATTACAGGTGACACTTTTACGAAGCCTCGCGAGCTCGCATTCGCAATCGTCCTCCGGCCATAAATTTCCCGTTTGCGGCGACCGGCCACCGCGACGACGCGACGCGACGGCGGTTAATTCACGCGCGCGCGACCGTTGCACGATCGATGCCGCGAATGGACGCGCGAATTTCCTCTCTCCATCCATCATGCTCTGCCATGCCAATCGGGATCGACGGGACGCTCTTTCGCGCCGAGACGTTAAAGGCGACTCGCGTTTCGCTCACCCTTTTGTGCAGCAGCTCGCTGCAGTCCGCGCGCGATCGCTGTTGCTGCTGTCGCTGACCCGTCATCGTCGTCGTGCCCCCGCCGCGGTCGACCTCCCTGCCGATCGGGCTGATCATTTTTCTCTCACCTGCGAACAGAAAGGAAGAGAGATAAGTTACGCGAGAGAGAAAGCCGCGAGAGGAAGCGGAAAGCCCGCTGGAAAAGGAAGTCGCGTATTTCTGAGCGTGTCGTAACGAGGCCGGAACTATCGGAATCGACTGATATTCCCGAAGATTTTTTTTTCTTTGTTCCTCCTCCCGCTGTTTCGCTCGCGGGCTCAGACTCTCGGTGGAGTAGCGAAAAAAATTGTAATAACGAGCGAGCAGATTGACTTTCTCCTTAATCACGTGAATGGCAGTCGTTTGTATTTTCGCCTCAAAGCGCCGGAATTGTCGGAGCTACTTCCTTTCGTTTATAATATTACATCCGTTGTATACGGGATGTCGCAGGCATTATCGTTTTTCAGACACGGATACCCGCTGAATTTCTTTGAAGAACTTTAGAAGAGTGTTTTCTTAGCAAGACTTTAATGAGATGAGCTAACGATTCGGATTAAATTATAAATTAATTTTTTGTTTAAAACATAAATTCGGTTTCGCTCACTTTTATTTTTAATATCCTTGAAAGATGTATCGGGAGATATTGAGATATTAGCATATTTGTTCAGACTCCGCTATCTGCGGCTGAACGATAATGGATCTGGGACGACCTGCATAGGATATTCAAATGCCTACAGAAATGTTTCGCAGCTGCGACCGTTAGACGCGTCGTAAAATGGAGAAGCACTTCCGTCTAACGCAGAAAATTGCGCAGCTATTGTACCTATACAGATGCAATCCGATTGCACGAAGAAAATTCTTGGTGGACCGTGGTATTTAGATTGCGGTGTGCTTCCGCCATTCTTTCTGGAAGACGACATTCGCCAAGAAATATCCTCCGCATTCGTGCCACCAAAGAAACCACAACGTTCATCCAATTTTCTTAGCATCACAATCATATTCGATTCTCCAAACACATCGCGGTTATAAGGGAAAGAAAGAGAATTGGCTGTAAACTCGTGCCGTTAACTCACCTTCGAAATGCTCGTCATTACAAATTTACGATCTCTTTTGATTCAAGAAGGAATAACGACGCGCTGTGTAATTATGATTTCTTTCTCATTAAAACCACCGCGTAATGCTCGCGCGCGGTGATATTGTGCAACCTCAATCCTCGGTAGTTGAATTACCCGAAGCCTGATGATATCGATCATGCGTGCCTTTGCGTATTTAGGCGGGGCGTACGGGATTTATGCACGCGGGATTTCCATTATTCCGGCGTTGTGCATTAGACGGGCGGCGGCGCACACAAGCCCTTACACCGGGACACCACCGCCACGGATCCTCGGATAATTAACCCCCGGACGCCCGCTGAAATTCTCGACCTAAATTTATGTGCTTTTCAGACGGTTCGGCAATCTCGCGATTCAGAGCAGACGTTAAATCGCCGCTTAATCTCACGGGTATTAATCGCTCATTCGCCGAGCGCGGTTCATCACTTGTAAGTTTCGCGCGAACCAAATGTTCCGGACGTGCTGAGTTAGGCCAGCTTTGAATATCAGAGGCAGAGATTTGCTGCAGTGATATATTGAATATAATGTGAATATATTATATATTTCGCAATACTGAGGCAAAAGAGAATTATTCGTTGTGTTGTGCTCATTTTGTGTGTATTGCTGAATAGAATGCTATCTTTTTTTCTCAAGCAAATTGCGAAAAGACCTTTGCAATGATTGTATCGTTCTTCCGTTGCGTGCCGTAAATTTCTGTTACAGAATTAAGATAACTGTTACACGAGAAGTCTTACGTTATGGAAATTTGTCGCGAATAACTTTGAAAAAATCCGATTAATTAGCCGCGCTTAACGAGCTATTAATTCCGAATAGCGCAATATACGCTGAACGTTGAAGGATCATTTTATAAACCTTTTATAAACGTGGGCGTTGTATGCCTTTGACATTGTCTTCGTCAGCGTTATTAATTAGCGTTTACTTGTGTGCTTTGTACACGAGTAGGAGGAAAGTCGATATCGGGCGCACTAACTCGCTCGGAGACGTTATTACGACAATCCGGTCGGTCGACGTCGTAACTCTTTTTCCTAACCGGCAAACTTGGCCGCGTCGCGATAGCGATTCGTATTACGACCAACAATATATTAATTGCGCCTTAACCAACTTCGCGTTCGAGGCAAAAGTTCGAGTTCTTTCATAAAGCCGGATTCTCCGGGGTATTCGTCGGCGATTAATCGCCTCGCCGCTGCCCGGGGTCCACGGGGTCGGCTCATCGAAAAGTTTCCGTGGAAACCGCGCGGGGAAAGAGTATCGGGCAGATCGATAAATTATAGACACAAAAGGAAAACTTACTTGGACTGTGCACGCGTATCTCGCTGTCGCTGGGACTGGAGACACGGTGGTCGTTTAACGAAGCGACCCGCAAGTGTCCGATCGGGCTGATCAATCGCTGAGTGGAATGACCGCCCGGCGATGCTAACCTCAGGTCCCTCATGTCGTTACCGGTAACCCTGAAATTTGACGAGCAGGTCAGTGGGCCGATTCGTCGAAGGCCGCGCGCTTGAAACGACGCCGTAAAGTGATGTAACGCGGAAAGAAGCTGTGTGAGAGGGAGAAAATTAAGTCGCTGAACGATTCGAAAGAAAATGCGATGCTCCGTGGACGTCGACAATTATTATTTTGAACAACGCTGTTAATCTACGGCTAATAAATATGTCAAATAAATATTGACAATTTTCGAATCGACATTTCGCAATTTTCATTCGACACCACGGCATTATCTTCTCACCGGCAGTTTATAGCGACAGGAGCTTTGCCCGATTAATCATGGGTGGGAAAATCGATATTTAACGTCCGAGACAAATAAACGTGGCTACGCGATACAGCAGAAATTAGATTCGCCGTGAAGGTAAACCGCGACGCGAATATACGTGCGAGAAAATTGTATTATCAAGGTGACGCGGTTTAGCTCACGCCTGGCAATAAATAGAGCTCGGCGAGCTTGAGAGCGGCTCTCACGTCGATTATGACATCGCGACGCCCTTCGGTCTAATTAGTGACGTCTAGCTGGCTAGCCTCTCCGCGTAATGAAAATTTAACGACGAAATTACATTACGCGCTATTTGCGCGCTCTTGAAATCAGTTTAAAAAATTATTGCGTTCCTTAGATAAAAAAAAAAAGGTTTTTCCAGCTAATTGCTAGTTGTAAAAAGATTTTTCAGAGGATGTATAATTGTACTACTTCATACACGGAAAAAAATTTAGCTAAAGGATTTGCTACTATATATACGGACAACTAACATTTTTTGCTGCGAGAGCTAATTGATTTTGCAATAATAGCAAAACCTTTTGCTGCAATAGCAAAGTTCAACAAAACTGTTTGCTATTGCAACAAAATGTTTTGCTATTATTGCAAAATTAATTTAACATCATATTAAAATCATATTTAACAAATAGATTTGCTGTTGCAGCAAAACCTTTTTTTTCCGTGATCGAGAAGCTAAATTAATTACTGCAATTGCGTCACCGCGTAATCCTCGCGTTATGAGTTGTCAAGAACACGCAGGAAAATTGATCGGTTGTACATTTCGCGTCAAACTAACAAACGTTGTTGTTGTTTGCGCGAGCAGACGGGCGAGTAATTAAACAGCGACTTAAATGAACGAACCTACGCGCATGTAAGGAGTTACGTACATAACGAGTTATTTACGGACTAAATCGGGCGATAGCTAACCGCTTCTGTGTTTGGGTGGAAACGCGCGCTACTCTGCCTTTCATGGCGATTAATTTATCCTCTTCTCCCTGCATGCTGTTTCGACATACCGGTCGAATGATTTTGACACGGTTTGCCATAAAAGCGGTCGAACGAGGCTGGAGTGCTTCTGGCTGTGTCTCTAACGTTATGATTCGTTCTAATACTTGTCTCGAGTCTCGAATGTGATCTTTTTAGACGCGATACTCGAGGGCACGGACATTTGGCCGCTTGCGGCATTTCTACTAGTCACCACCTCAAAGTAACTAAACAGTCGGGCAACTCTCACGAACCGGAATTAGACGGCAGGGTTGCGGCCGTGCGAGTACGCGTTCGCTAATAAGTTTCCCTATTACGGGGTGCGATAGGGGCGGCGGTTTAATTACAGCGCGACGAAACTTCGTTATACAAATACCTGGGAGGGTCGGCTTTGCGTCTACTTACATGCCGGGGCATTTGCCGATGTCGCCGTTGCTGGCGGCCCTCAGCATCTGGGCGGTGGACTCGTTCTCCAGCTGCCTCATAGGCGGTTGCTGCTGCTGCTGCTGCGGAGTCGAGTGATGGAGCGGAAGCGGTTGCTGCCGATGGCTGCTGCCGGTACTGTTTCTCGGTAGCGGAAGAGTGGACACCGCCGTCGGCGGTTGAGTCAGCGTTCTCTGAGGCAGATGAGATGTGCTGACGGCCCTGGGTGGAAGCGGGTCTCTGCCTATCACGGACCCCGAGCCGGACGCTGCGAGAAAGAAATGTGCAAGCTCGTAAAAATTCTATCATGTGATTACGTATGCGTTTAAAGCAACCTTACGTTTACGGCACGCGAATTAGTCTCGAGGCAGGATCTCATACGGGACGTTATACGCTAATTGAGTCTTGCGTGTACACGGTGAAATCTCACAAGCGTTCTCGGATTGCGAGGGATCGGTATCGGGACTGTTCAGGAAACGTCTGTCTCGCTTGAATGGGAAAGATGGGAGAAATATGTGAGAAACTAGTATGGATATTGGATTGAGTAATACTCTATCGTAGATCGCTCGCCCTCGGCGAACAATCAGTCAGCCGTTGCCAGTCATAAGTGAAAAATGTGTATGATTCCTTAAAATTTTATAACTGATTACATAAATCAGATCGAATTGAATATCCATGATAATATGTACATTAATAAAAATATTCGACTAGGTCTGAGAGATTCCGTATGACCGTATGTAATCCGCGTATATGAAAATGAACCGTATAATTCTAGTTAATATTGATACTCATGCGAGACTCACTTAAAAGTTTCACAACTTCAAGATTACGTATTTCATGGTTGCAAATTTTATCTAGAAGCTTGGCAGTTTCAAAATTAAATATTTCCTCATTCTAGAGTAAAAAAAATTATATGCGAGAGATCCTGATGTAAGCCCAAACTTCGACGATCGAGAATCTCACGCTAGCGAGTCCTCTGGCCGGATGCGTGCAGTGAACACGGTAATGGTATAGGATAGAATTGGCAGCAGACACACAGGACGAGAGACAGAACGGAAACGTGTGACCGCTCGGCATGACGGGGGCGGTAGACCATTTGCGTTTGAGAACGGACCGACGAGACAGATGAGGGAGAGGAAAGGACAATTTATCGGGCGCAATTAAGTCAACCTCCGGAACCAGGCCAGCGCGGGTTCGGTTACGTAAGGCCTCGGATTGCGCTCTGGGGGGACCGGCTCATGGCGACGACCGTCTACGCATCGAACGCAATCGTGATTCCTATTTTTTTTCCCCTCCCGCATTCGTAACTCGGCTCGCGAGTTGCCGAGAGTCGGTCTTAACGTGCGAACAGGTTTCCCAGGTGATAGAAAGAGTGGAATGAAAGTCGATTGTCCGTCGCTGGGAAAATCAGTAGCGATCACCTGGAATTCGATCGATGCGGAATGCGTCGGGAATCCGATGCGTTGGCGAATCATCGCGGCCTCGCTCGTCGAGAGGACCAGAGGCGGACAATGAACGCGCGCGAGGGAACGAATCGCGCGTATCCGCGCCAGGCCGCGCTGCTACACGCACGTTTGGCATTTGCCCGACGACCGAAACGGCGGAATATCTGTCGTGCGGCGATTGTTCACGCTTTAAACCTGCGTTCACGCTCAGACTGACGCGGGGAATGCAAACCGACCCGGCGCGATGCCATATGGGCGCAGCAGGAAACTCCTCTCGCGCTTCGCGCATATAATAGGCGGTATTCAATCTGCGGAATGTATGGGGCTGATAGCGCGCTACTCCCCGTATATGTATATGGTGATAAAGACATCGCGCGCGATTTGAAATTCCGTTCTCCAGTCACGATCGCGCCATATTTGCAGATTGATATAGCTGAGGTTTCTCTGTTTGTCGATGCGGCTCGTAAACTCATTCGCGTGGAAGCGGGAATATATGAGGATTCAAGATTACGATGCTATCCTTAAACACCTGTGCGTCGCATACGAGTTTTCGTTGAACCACAGATGGCTTCTTTTATCTATGCTCCTTACGTCACAAAGTAGATATTATAACGTAGCGAGGCACGTTTATGAAGTTGGTCTGTCTTTTAACTTGTCATAGAATGTCCAGGCTACGCAATTGAGAAATTCACGAGCTAAAATGAGGATCTTATTATTCATAGAGTGAGATATAGTAACTTCACCAGGGGGAATAAATTTATGCCGAGACTGATAAAAGATTTCAGAAGAGAGAGTGCTTCTGACGTATTTTCTCGTGTGCAAAAATAATCGGCGAGCGAACGAAAAGCCGCGTACTTTGGAAAGACTATTTTCGTACGATTTCTATAATCCGGAAGCTTATTTCTCCGCTCCAATTTATCTCTAATGCAACTCTATTTTGTTTTGGATCAATAATCGGTTCGCCTACTTCGCATTTTCTGTCAAAAAAATTATATGGGTGAATATATGTACATCGATTCTTTTTATACCGCGAGTATAACTCAAAAGAATGTATTTCTGACGTATTTTCCACCGTACCGTGCAACATCTTTCACCTTTATAAGCCGCGGTGATCGGACGGTACGAGGTTTACGCGCGGAGAGTTGTTTAACCTGGCCTGTACAACGAAAAACTCGAACGTGCGAACTACGAGCGATTATATCGACTGACTGACCGTGGACAATGTGACTGCGTACTTGGTGGAATGCGTGACGATGCATCCGGGATGCCGGCGATTTGCGCGGATTCATCGTTATGTGGCGAATGGACACGCGAGCGGGATGACTCCGCGACGTTTCGTATCGATAACCAGTGCGTCGCTCGATTGGATTAAATCGAGATCGACTTCCTGAGCGACGACGTCGCGTTCCCTTTGCGCAATCGTAATCGGGTCTCCCGTTTCTTGGCCTTCGCGACCGGAATGCGGAATGGATGGTCGGCATTGTCAACGATTCGAAAAATACACGTGCGTCAAAAAGGACGTCGCGATAAATTTATTTGGTTTTCAACCAATAAATTCTCGTCACAAGATAGAGATCGTAAATAAATCAACGAGTTACGGTTGAAAACTATATCGATATCTGCAACGAATACTCCACATTTCTTCACTCTGCTAGAATATTACATATTGAATCTATTATACTTCTTTCTTTAGACCTTTAAGATTTATTATGACCAAATTATTTATACATGCAAGTAAACATAAGAATAATTTATGTATTTCTCATATAATTCGTATTTTCATGATACTTTGTAGCTATTTAAAGCTATTTAAAGTCTAATTGGATCAATTATTCTTATTATTTTAATGTTAAAAATCGATGATTTTTTTTAACAAAATCGGCAATAAAAAGGGCAACCGTTTTAATTTTTTAGATTGTCTCAATGTACTTGATGAGCATTCTATTCGCAAGCTCGAAAGATGTGTGGAAAAGTGTTATATTTAGACTATTTGGAGCATCGCCGAGTAAACTTTTTAGCTTCTTTATTACGTACAATAACAGTCGTTCATCTCCTCTTTTATTCCACAATATAATTGCCACGCATTGATCCAATGAAACGCATTCGGCCTGAACTGTATCGCTGTCCTCAATGCAATGCAAGTTACGATAGCTATCCGGAATATTCAATGCACACAGAACGTCGAAAATACGCAGATAATCGAGAAAACGAGAGAAATAATTTAATAGACACTCGGCCGATCGATCGGCGTTTGTATCCGCACTAATATTCCACCTCTCCCGAGCGTGGTTAAAGCGTGTAGAGCGTAGAGCCGGTGTAATAATAATTTAAACGTATGTGTCCGTCGACCCATTGCGAAAGTCGCGCTGGAAACGTTAGACCGTGTAACAGATCGGTGCGACGTTACCCAATTTCGTTGTTTTAGAACCGGACCTCGTTTCGCGAGCATTACAAAATCTGCAACGCGAGAAATTTCGCGCGAGTTTCATGCGCGTGGTTTAATTAAAATGCGGAATTCGCAGGGAGGTCGCGTCGCGTCGCGTCGCGCCGATCTACGCGCGGCGTCACGGCGCGCAGATGAAAACTAAATAAATCGTCTGGAGTTTGGAAATATAACGGAGTTAAAAAAAATTCCAAGCGTGTCGATTTGATCGCGCCCGTGCCTGCACGTGCGCGCGTAAATATAGGTGTGCCACTTGGCATCGCGCGCAGAAAAGATCAAGGTGCACAAACGAGCGCCGTTATCCGCGCGTATACGGGGTGTCCGCGAATTTCATGGCGTTACGAATCGGCGACGGCTGTGACGAGAACTTCTCGTCTTGTTACGAGAAACGCCGTTTCCGTAATACGGCCGTATTGCGCGATTCGTACGTACTTACGACAAGACGATCTCGCGAAGCGTTTCGAATTCGGGAGAAGGTCTGAGCTGGAAATTACGCTTTCACGGTAGAAAGGGGGGGAACGATGAGAGGGAGGATGGTCTATGGAATTTCCGACTGTGCAGAATGCACGGGGATTAAAGCGGGGGTTGTTCACCTCGAATACTCTAAAAGACGAGGGGGTTGGGGGTGCTTTTCATGGGGATTTAACGGCTGGCGTCGCGACGCCGGAAGAGGCGTCAAAGAGTCGTTGGAACGACGACGAGCGTCGGCTCCGGAAGGGCGCGAATATCGTTTTCCCGGATCAGAATTCGGCATTGAATCGCTCGGGGGGGAATTATGGGAAAAGGGCGGTTCACGTTCGTTCGAGAGCGGTTAATGAAATTCGCGAAAGCTCGCACCGAGTTGGGGCAGGAGACACTCACGGTGGGAGCACATAATCCAACTCGACTAATTTTTACGGAGTATTCCACAAGACCATTTTCGACCTCGTGTTACTTCTGAATGCCGTATTTGTCAGCTTTCAACTTTTGCTTATCTCAACATCAGATGTCTCGATGAAACATACTGACATTCCACTTAATTGTCTCAATTATCGAATAACACTACGTTTTGACTGAATTTCTCATTTCGGTGATTACCCACAGTCTGTAGAGTTAACACTAGAACAACCAACGTCATTTGTACAATGATGAAAAAATATGATTGATGGAAAAATAAATTGGCATATGAAATAATTTTTTTATTTGGACAGAAGTCAATATAAATTCCAACAAAAGCACCTTAATTAATTTCCGTAATTTAAAAGGAATTTGAAATCCGTCATTTTTAAATGGGGTTTGTTGCAAAATGGTACTGCCCGTTGAAACCGACTCTCGCGTGGGCGTTTCTTTTTTCCTGTCACGCATGTTGAATCGGCGAAGGTAGACGAACGAGCGCGCGCG